TGGCAGAATCGCAATTCCACTTTGCACTGCCCACAAGCTCCACTTACACTCCATTGGAAAACAAGGTGATGGCACCAGCTGGGCAACTGCCTTGGCAAATGAACTGTGGATGCTCCACTTCCGAATGTGGGAGCACAGGAACGATGCCCTACACGGTGCGAAACCAACCCCCACCCAACTCTCCCACCTCTCCACCCTCCGCCAGGAAGTCCTGAAAGAGTACTCCAAAGGTGATGCCGCTGGCTGGAAACCATCAAGCTGGCGAGGGCTGCCTATGGACGACTCAGCACGACATACCACCGCCGCACAACACGACAACTCCAACAATCCATGCACAATTACCTACAGACTGGCAGAACTACGACCCAAGAGTAACATGCTTTTCAAACCCTGGGTATTGCCCCGCACTCCAGGTGCTGCCTTTGTCAGCTTCTCCTGCACCCATGCAGCATTGTCCACTAATGGGGGGCCCATCCGGGACCCTTGAGAATGACCTGATACTGTGCAGAATTTTATGTGGATGACGACTCAGCTAGGTGGGGGCTTCCCCACCACTTGCCCGCATCATAAAAGCCACTCCGTGGCCATAGTTTGCTAAACTAATTGAGTAATTTAAACCCTGTTTGCTTTTAGGATTGCTGTTCAGCCTCCAAGGATGGCAACACCTGATCAGGTAGATGGTAATCTTTTTAGAAATGGGTTGACTGTGGAAAGGACTCGCCGGAATGGCCAGACTAGCCTCAGGTACAGACGAGCTGTGGCCACCCCTGCTGATAGTAGGCCTGCCAAGCTAGCCAAGTACAGAACTGTTGGCTCTGCTTGGGAAGAGTGGATGCATGGTATTGGTGGCACCAAGCCAGCCAAGAACTTCACTGCTGAAGATATCAGGGCTTGCAAGTCAACCTACTCCAGGAGGAAGCCAATCTGGACTCTCATGGCTACACTTGTCAATTCTGGCAAAGCTCCAGCTTGGGTCATCACCAAGATTGAGCACCATTACAAAGGAAGTGTTTTGAATATTACTGCTGCCATCAAGCAGGACACAATTATGGGCAGTCTGCATGAGAATCTTTGTATTGTTCGTGTTCAGTAAAGTTGACCTTAGTTTGATAAGCATGGTAGCCATGCCTAATAGTGAGTTTGTTACATGGACTTGATCTTTTTCGTTTTCGTGTTGGACTTGTGCTTTTCGTGGACTTGTTGTGCTTTTCGAACGTACGTACGCTAGCTAGCTACTACTAGTAGCTAGCGATTCGAGGACTTGTGCGTTTTTGTTCAGCCTCATTTTTCATTATCTGGTAGAGGTGCGAACGACGTTATCTTAACAGTGAGTAGTAGAGGTGCGAGCCTCATTTTTCTTACGGTCGAGGACGTGACCTTCACTAGGTCGACACTGGTATTAACGATCGACCTTGCATACACCAGGTGTTGGTATACCTCGATCGATAGGATGGATATCTCCTGTAGGATGGCTACCACAGGTACATGCTCTCAGTATTTCTCTCAGAACTGGAATATACTTTTACGGTACGGTCCCGTCTGCTGCCTGCACCAGGTACCGTACGCGATAGCATGCCGATATATGAAATGCCGCTGAAATTCAACTCTCAACCATCCAGGAGTTTTGAATCAGGTGCTTGAAGCAATCTCTCCAGGCTCATACTAGCTAGTCTACTTTCATTTTTCGAAGCTGACTTGGAGTTAGACAATACTCGAATATCATTTATGATTCGATATCTAGTCCTCGTTTGGAGCCATCTAGGCAGCTATAGCTTAGCTAGTGAATCATGAAGGCTTTCTTTTCATGATTCTAAAGGAGGGACCGTCAGGTAGCAGCCCACACCAACAAAGGAGGCACAGCCAAGTTACAGGGACATCCACTCCCCTCAATGGAAAGCTTGCTGTTGGCCTGAAGAAAGGTCCAATTGCTGGCTGCCAGTAGTTGCTTCATAAAATGATGCCATCTAGTGTCGACACTCTTCTGGTGGCTACCGTAGCCTAGCCAGAGTAGCATGTAGTGAACCCGGAGAACCAGCCAAACCTGGAGAGCTGCTTTTGAGCCATGCACAACATTCCTCAGCAGTCACCGCAAATAAGTCTGCCTCTGGTCAAATCTTTTGGTGCTGCAAATGAAGTGGGCAATCTACTTGTAGCACCTGTATCTAAAAATGGCTGTCTTCGTTTTGCATGGCACAGTCATATTGCAGTTTTTGGGATCTGGATTTCTTCTTTGGACTTTTCTTCTGCCCTTCACTGTTGACGATCCCGTCATGGGTCTTGTCTACCTGGTCCTCCTCTTTGGCGCAAACACCTCCTCTACCACACCCACTCCCTGGAAGACAGTTTTGGGGGATCGTTGATGCAATACACGGCTCTTAGCCTTATTCGCGACTCGATCCTAGACAGGGTTTGAGTTCGACTCATGACTGAGTCTTTCGTGAATAGTCACTGAGACAGGGTTCTCATGACCGCTAGTCATACTAGGTCGATGGTGAAACATCGCGCTAGATATTTAGCTGGCGTGGAGAGATTCCACGCTACTAGATAAATGCTAGACGAATCTTCCACGCGTTCCGTTTTTGGATCGTGGAGTGAGTAGGATTGCTACCGCAACCTACTCTATCACACTCTACAGTCTCCCGCGGGAGTTCAGATCTACGATCCTTTGATTGTGGATCTCTCTCGTTGATTAGTTTTCATAGCTTTCTAATCCTCTCATAACTTTCATTCTCTCAAACTCAAAACACTCGAAAGATCTTTACACTAGCTTTTAGCGTAGTGCATACTTGATAATAGGCTTACCTCGTACCGTTCGATCGGTCATTCGATTGAATAAAGAATTCCTCCTACCGGTAGCTACTACCACTCTTGTCGGCCAAGCTTGGATTTACCTCCTGTTTGCCATAGGAATGCAATGAGGGAGAGAAGTCACTGCTGCGCCTTCAATAATGGACTTGCCACGAAGCAACAGATCGGCAGCAGAGGTACGAGGATAGATTGAGGTACGAGCCTTCCGAATCGATCGGCCGCACCTCTGCTACCGGTACTCCTCTGTTATCCAAGCCGATCTTCCCCGGTTCAGAGCAGAAAGCCACCACCATTGAAAAAGCACTGCAAATCGAAGGTTTTCTCTTCTCGGCCGACGACCGTCAAGTTGGAAAACTCCAGTATCAAGAGTGTTATTGCAGTTGCAGAATTGCATACCATCCCTCATACAATCTCTATGGAAATCGGGAGGCACAACAATCTCTACCGACAAAAGCATCATTGTCGCGATCGGCACTTCTTCGATCGAAAGACCTTACCGACAACCTCAGCCCTATACCGACACAAGATTCCAGCGTAGAGTAGAATCAATCTAAATCTTTCGAAAGGGAACTTGTTACTTAACGATACACATGACTGTTGATTCTGCAACTGAAGTGCGGCTACTCTAATTTACACAGTAAACGCCGGCAAATCGATTTCAGAGTGCAACTGAGGGGGTAACCAAAAGGTGCGCCGTCTCAAGGAGACGGAATTGAGCTTTGGTTTCATTCGAGGAGGTTGCTTCTCTAGCTAAAGCACTCAGTCATACCGGTACCGGTACATGGAGAGAAAAGGGTGTTTGCTTGGCAATACACCCGTTGGAATGAGGCGCAGTTTCTGGACCGTGCCGTACTGTCCCAGAGGCTGCCTCTCCAATACCGTACTGCAGTTTCTGGTACCTTGTCGGGTGTGAAGGTAGAAAATAATGAACCTGAAGCTTTTGCTGAATAGAAGTGGCAGTCGGCGTCCTAGCTAGTGGTATGGCGGCAATTCTGATCATCCAGTCTAACTATTTCGTTAGTTAGTGCTGCAATACCTACTCATGCTATCTCGATTCGGCCTGTCGAAGTTGGGTGGGAAGCCCGTAACAGACAGGTGCACAACCAACCATGAATTGCATCTTGCAGGACGACCTAGCCTGTGCCACTGCATGAGCAATGTTGTTGGACTTGGCATCAGCGAGACTTTGCAGCATGCTTTGGCAGTACCTGTCAATGTCGCGGTCCGTAACATCCCAAAGATTCCCTACAACACAGGGTGCTCCAGCTAGCAAATATGATAAGGCAATTCCTTCTGGCTCGTAGAATATGGCATGATTGGCGAGGGGTTCAGTGCCCTTTCGATTGACAGATTCCAGTCTACCACTGCTGCATCCCATGAGCAGTACCGATGATTCACAGGACGGCGCAGATTTCTTGGATGACCACTTCTGTTTGATCAGGCCTTCGACTTTGCTCCGTGAGTAGCAACACTGTCCGCCGCCGTGCCCACAATACAGAAACAACCCACCCTCTTTGGCCAAATTTTGTCCCATGAATTGCGACGAGGGAAGTTCTCCTGAAACCCCACCCCAATCCCAGCCGTACTCCTTGTTCATTTTCTCAAAGAAAGGCAACAGGCGCTCTTGGGTAGCGCTCAAGTTCGCTTCTGGATTCAGCACATACGTCGCCTCTTGAGGATCCACCACTGGAACAGGTTGGCTCGGTCTAGCATGATCCTTCAGTGAAGCCAGTGCGAAAGGCAGAGATGGAAACCTGCATACTGACTTGTTGGCAAATGACGGCAATCCCTCAAACGGGAAACGATGCAAGTTTTCATCCAAAATGAGAAAGGTGCATTGATCAGCCTTCCTGTCGCCTTCGTTTGCAAGGCTGTCCCTGCGAATATCAAGGTGCCGGCGAGCTGGTTTCCCCCTTCTGCTGGATGTCTCGGCCCTCTTCTTGATCCCCACCGATGGCAAAACATCATCATCATCATCCGACGATTTGAGACTGACGGCTTCAAATCTCGAGGAAAGATCGTTGCAAACACACGACTCAATGCTGCCGGAGCTGTTCAAACTATCATCGAGACTCCCGTCAATACTCTCAGAGCCAAAGAGAGCTTCTCTAGCACAAGGTGAACCAAAATGCTCTCCTTCGACTCGAAAAAGCAACTGTTGCAAACTCTCGTCGAGCGTTGTCCGCTCTTTCCACCATTCACGCTTTGCCGAGGCGTCGCTGTCTACAGATTCGGGGTCTGATGATGATCCAGATTCTGTGCTGCCAGACCACTTCAATTGCTGCTGGCTTTCAAGTATAAGGGCATCCATGGGCTTGATCGCGTTTTCGTACGTGTGATTGTTGTAGAGAACGTGCGAGTTGGTTGTTTTGCCTCCAGGGAAAAGGCACACCGTTGTGGCCCATAAGTTGCCAACAGTATCGTCGACTTTCATGGCAGTGATCAGCAGCTCTCCTGTTGGACACAGTGCAGATGCTACAAAGCGCCACTCAGGAGGCGCCCAATCTCTCAAAGTGGTCAGAAATACACGGACGTGAGCATCTCTCTTCTTTGTCTGGGCAAATCCAATATCCAGAGCCCCGAGGAGACTTGCAGTCGACACGGAGTCGTCATCCGTCGCTGCAACGGAGCCCTGTGCCAATTGGCAAATGGCTTGACGCGCCGTGCACCCTATGGACGTGTTTATAAGAATGCAAGACGACGATTCCGTGATCTTACCATCACGTTCTGGACCAGTGACCAAAGCCAGCGCCCGAAGCACCATCCTTGTCAGGACGAATGAAGCGGGGCCCAGCAACGTGAGTGCCGCAGAAAAGTGTTGACGAGCTTTCGCCAGGTCCTTCGAAGTGAAAGTCTGTTCTGTGCTCTCTTCATTGGAAAAACCTGCCCACAAGGCAGCCAGGGCGTTGGCTTTCCGCGCTGTTTGCAATGAAATCAAGCCAAGATAGTAGAGTGCCCACGCGCGACACTCTTTAGGTGCAAGAGGGGCATTTGCCAATTCCAGACATGATGAGGTGACATCTTGTTGCGAACTCGATTCCAATTCAGTGTCACTTTCAAGGATTGACCGAATTCTCCCCAGTTGCATCTGACACCAAACCGAGAAGAGGAACTTTCCGCTTGACAAGGGGAGAGTCATTTGGGTTGTCTCTGCAAGGTTCTCCAACATTCCATCGCCAATCGCCTCTCCGTACAACGTCGATGCCTTCTCGTATGCAACAAGAGCGGCGGCTCTTGCCGTCGGTGTCTGCATGTCGTAGAGAATGTCGCCAACTGTGCAAGCAAGAAGAAATAAATGTCAGTGAATCGAGCTATACATCGGCCGATGGATCATACACCTTGATGGCACATACCGAGAAAGAGTCCTTTGCTCGCGTCAATATTAAATCGCGAAGTCTGGGCCACACTCACAAGAGACTTCACCACTGCCAAAGGATCCTCGAGTTGACTTATGACCAAGCCGTACGTAGTGGCAGTGGCTCGGGACCACAGAAAAGTTCTGCGACAAACCATTTCTTTGAGACTTGCGGGTGGCTGGTCTCTAAACAAATGCAACAGTTCAGGAAGTGGAACGTTTGGCTTTAACCTTTCAAACATCCCGTGGCCGCCGCTGCTGTTCAATGCACAAAGTGAATATACTTCGCTCTTTCTGTAGTCGCCATTCGTTGCATAAAGGAGAGACATCTGTTGCAAACACTGAATCACTTTCTCGCGACTTCCAATCATCAACGTTTCCAGAATCGCAGGTGCAAATGGAGGCTTCACTGTCTGATGATGGCCACTAGCTGCAGCAGCGAATGCGAGACTAGCCACAGTCGTTGTTTCTTGATATGACTGGCAGCATAGTTTCATGTGAGATAGCGCAGAACCCAAGTTCCCAGATCTGGCGGCAATCTCCGAGAGTAAGGTGAGAGCAGAAGACTTGACCCAAGAAGCGAGGCTTTCATTGTTTTCGTCATCTGCTTTGTCTTGTACCGACTGGACTCGGTCAAGGAGAAGGTGCACTTGCCCGTGCGCCAAGTCCAGGTTGATTCGTTCGTCCGACTCCAAGAGCTCGAGCCTCAATCCAGCAAGGTGATGTTCTATTTGAACGAGATGGTCCCAATGGTCATCCGAATAATCATTGCTTTCGGTTTCTGGGTCGTCTTCCTGGTCACGCTGAGCTGCAACTGCCACGAGATCCGCGGAGATGAGGTGATCCGACTGTCTAGCTTTTGTCCATCGGCGTGAAAGTGCACTGGTCGAGGGCACGTTTTCTAGCCACACTGCAACCTGGGCAGCGCAGAGCTTGTCACCTTGGAAAGATAGTCTGTCTCGAACTCTAGACAACGTTCTTTCCAGGCAAGCACAGGCCAGTTCTGACGTCGGCTGCTGCGTGTTTTGGTCTCTTATCGAATGAAAGATCTCATCATTGAAGCATGCCAGCAACGATTTGCCGTTGTTGGGTGGCGAAGAGTCAGCCATCATGCAATCGATGGTGTCAACGAAGACTAGCGTTGCTGATCTCACCGCGAAAAACACCAGTGGATTGCATGTCCAGTCGTCGCTAGCGTCATTACCCGACAGAATGACGGCCTCCCTCGCTCGAGTTGCAAACTTCGATGCCAAGGTGACCAAAGATCTGCAGCGAGGATCCATGTCACTATCATCGGCATCCCACGTACCCAGCAGGAGTTGCTCATACATTTCCTGCGCAGACAGTATATTGCAGGATGCTGTCACGTATGCTGCAGCTCGAAGTGTCGCTAGATAAAGCACTCGGCGATGCTTGTCCTTGCCATTTTCGTTCATGCTTGGAATGGAATCAACAAGATCAACCAGGAACTCGACTAGTTCTTCATAGTTGCCTTGTTCGTCATTGCCGAGAGGCAACTCAGAAGAGACGTTGTGTTGCATTGACTGGCCCGTGTTCTCTAACACGGACCCAGTTATTTGTATCAAGGCGGAGGAATTGGAAAGGGTGGTTTCACGGGCGTTGAAGAGAGCCCGCAAAAGGCTAACCAGGGAGAACCTTTCGCCGACTCTGTCCTCAAAAACCGAGCGTAGATGATCGTCCGTCGCCGACGAGTGATCCTTGTGTGCAAGAAGGTCCAACAAAATCCCGATTGCGTCTTGTATAGAAAGAGAGTAGCTTGTTGCCGAAGTAGTATCAATGAGAGGTGGAAGTCTCTTGTGGCCGGAAAAGTTGTTGGCGAGTCGTCGAATAAGAGCCCGTACTTTGTCTGGCAGTCTCTTGCCATGGTTGTCAATTGGAATCATCTCATGACTTTTACATCCAAGTGTGCTCAAGACCTGAGCCCAAAAGTCATCGCCCCCTTCATCGTCGTACTCCGATACTGAAGATGAAGCAAAGCCAGCAAGGGCTGCTGCGGATGCCAACGACGCTGCATTGGGCCACTTCAAAGACTGGAATACCCCGGCAACGAAGCTCCAGCGTGCCACGAGGTGATTCTCAGAGCCTGCACTTGTGCGGGAAAGCAGAGACGATGATTCCGAAAACAGGGACAAGGAATGTAGCATTGGTGTCAATGACAGGTCTTTGGATCTGCTGGATCGATGCTTCCCGATCGACGCAAACATCTAAAGGAGAGAGAGAGAGACAATCTCAGGGTTGAGTCTTCTTGTAGAGAACGCATAATATTTCAGAAATTGCTAAACTGAAGAGATCACTCACCTTCGCGGCTTTTTCGACAAGGCCAATCCTGCTTCTGCAAGTAGTTGTATCAGAACCAACGAGGACATCCTTGAGGATCGACATGGCAGAGTTTGACCTCTGAAGAAAGGTGGTGGAGCTTTTCAGATTGTCCTGTATAACCAAATTGTCCCATACGATTGCAGAACGGGCATAGCTCTCCACAACAAGGTCCCACATGTGTGCTTCCTTTTTCTCGTCCTGCAGCTGACCAGAAGCTAGTATTGACACCACAAAAGGTCCATAGCATCTGGTCAGAAACTGGGCACACGTGTCGACAGTGGCTACATCGTTCGCTTGAAAACGATCGCAAGACAGGGTCGAAACCTGGTACATGGTCGAGTGTAGGGAAGCCATTGATGAAATCTTGAAGCACTGAAGTCTAACATCGGGGGACTCGATTTGATCATCGCCAAGGAAAACGCGCTCAAAGAGATGCATAATGTCGTTCGCCTGGGACGCATCGATCAGGTCAGGGTGGTCGGTGGATGCTTCCTTATCGCCACGAACCAGTCGTTGCATGGAATTCCTAAGATCAAGCGCCAGGAATAAGGCGAAGAGAGCAGCCGAGTGTGGATTATCGTCTTTGAGTCGACAGGATCCCAGCGTTGCAAGGTGTTCCGAACGAGTATTTCTTCGGCCAATCTTCAATGCTCGATGTGCGGAGTATTCAATGTATGGAAACGCCTGCTGCATGCCAAGCCTGGTAGCAACGGCATCGAGCATCAAGCCCACGCCATGATGAAAGTTGAGTTCTTGAATTGTCGCGTGTTCTTCCGCTGAACTACTGCCACTAGTTTCCTTCCAAGCCATTGTGCAAACATTGTCAAAGTATTTGGTACACAGCGCCCTGCCTGGCTTTGATTCTGGATTCAGACAGGACGCCAGCTCTAGGTTTGGTGGCGCCTCGCAATGTCCCAAAAGAATCAAGAGCGCATGCTTCTTTGTTTCCAAAGATCCAACATTCGCTCCCGTCTTCTGACTGATACTAGAAGACGACTCCCACAAAAGCCGATGTGCTTGCCGACAAAATGACACAATCTCTTTTGCTATGGTGTCGTCTTGTGGACAGTGGAATGACATGAAGCGAACCCAAGAAAACCCAACGAGTCGTAGCAAGTCGACCGCTCTTGCTAACACTGACGGTACAGCAGAGACAAGAGGAGAAGTGTAGCCCAAGGATGACCGCTCGCTATCATCATCATCATCATCACCATCACGAAACACGTCATTGTCATGATTGGAACAATTGAGGAGGGTCTTGGCGACTGCCAAAGTGGTTTGCACCCCAATGGTAAAGATCTGCGAGAGTTCCATCTTGGATGGTTTTGTCTTTGTAGTTCGTTTTCTTGTGGAGATTGGTGATTCGTTTGGTACTGGAAACATGGAAAGCCACGGAATCTGAAGATTGTCGTTGTTGTCACGAAGGAAAGTGAATTCCATTGTTTGCTTTCCTGGCAGTGCCACTACAAAGTCTGCTGCAAAGAGGGAACACAGTGTTTCGTATCCTCTGAAAACGACTTCTTCCGCGAGAGATGGCAACAGTTCGGACTTTTGTCGCCTCCTGGTCTTTGCTGTTTTGGAAGCCTTCTGTTCTGCAGCCATGAGGTCGCCGTGGGCAGCCTCAGCCGTGGTAATGACATGATACAGCAGTCGAATCATGGCCTCACTCCTGGAGGTTTCTGGTGGTGGATCCGATACCGAGAGCGCACGTAGTCCCTGTAGTGCTACGAAGAGACCATGCAACGTGACTTCTGCGTCCTTCTTTTTTGCTGTTTTGTAATCGGAGGCAGCCTTGATTACTTTTCGGCAAATGGTCAAGATTTCGGGGCATTTGTCTTCATAATATTGCAGGAGGAAATCTCCCAGTGATTCCTCTGTCTGCGACTGTTGTTGTTGATGTCGTTGTTCTGTTAGAGACATTGATCTCTCAATGATGCATTGACATAACTGCTGCTCCTCTTTCCAAGCTTTGGCAGTGGCAACTTTGTCGACTGACTTTAGAAATCGTTTTAGAAGATCGTCCTTGGATTCCTTGTTACAAGAATAAATCCAAATGGGAGCGACTATAGGAGCCTTGATAGTATTTTTTGGAGGTTTCTTCTTGGTCTTTGTTGTTGCTGCTGCTTTCTTTTTGGGCTTGGTGCTCGCCTGCTGAGGCATAATATTCGGTGCATCCTCATGGTCGGCATTTTCCTTGTTCTCATCATCGTTGGCATCGGTTCTCGCCTTGCGTCGTCTTCGACTTCGTCTTGTCACCCCAACAGGCAAAGTATCGTTAGTCTCTTGTGTAGATGGCATTGCTTCGCTCACTGTTGGATCATCAAATAAATAATGGTCTCTCTCATGGTCTTTCTGAGAGATTTGGGATGGCTTGAGATGAGGAAAAGGTCCAATTTGTGAGGGGACTTGTTCGACTCAAATTTTGAATATCTTAACGAGCTTCGCTAAAGTAGGGTTAGGAGTACCGTACCGTACCTACCTAACCGTACCATACCGTCCATTTACTTATCAACACGTGTCACTGCACCATTTTTTAGAACACTGAACCCTGAACCAGCCAACACCCTCATCACCATCACAACTTCGCAAGCGGCAGTCTTCGCATCTCAAGTAACGAGCAGTCCAACCAAGTCAAGATGATGGTTAGATCACTACTGCCGTCCTTTCGCCCCTCCTGCATGATGCTACTAACGCTGCTTCTGATGGTGTTGGCCATGACAGACGGTTTCTTATTATCACCGGGCAGCATTGGTTCTTCTCATCGTGGTTGCCACCCCAGCACTCGTCTCCAGGGCAACAGCAATAACTTTTTCCAACAAAAGCCAGGAGAGTCCGATATGGAATTCTTCAAGCGAATACAAACTGCTGCCGCGGATTCGGAATCCTTTGAGAGAATGGTGCTAGGAGATAATAGTGAGAAAAAGACAACGACAAACAACAGTACGTCGACAGAACAACAATATGAAAACAACAACAACAACGGAAAGAAAAAGGGCTACCAACGAGCAGAAGACTGGGACGCCGAGATGAAAGCGAAACAAAAAAAGGGAGAATTCACATGGGAAGAACGAGTGCAATTCGAAGGACAACGGTTTGGCGATCAAGTCAACCAAAACGACATTCTGAAAAAGAATTTGAACGGCTTTTAGAAAAAGGTTACATCCCAGCCGAAGCATTCTTCCAAACTACCGGTATTGATTTGCGGAAAACTGTGATTGATCGTGCTGCCGTGATGAAAAGTGAGACACGGGGACAATTGCTTCAAGGGATGTCAGCAGCAACAGACGTAGCAGCGGGTCTGATTCGATAGGTCTCTCTCTATGGATGGATGCAAATCTAATTTCCAGGGCCGTCCTAGCTAGTTGGCTTGCTGAATCATGTAAAGTGAATGGAAGGAAGTGTTCGCAGGATCAGTGAACAGACGCAAAGTTTGTTCAAAGTGTTTCATAGCAACAATTTTCTTTTCCAAGGTGATTCATTGATGGATGGTAGCATAGTACTTTGCTGCAGTTCGTTTTTACGTTTTTACCGCTTCTTGTCAAATGTAAGAATTGCGCTAATTGTTCGGATGGTTTATGTTAACCTTCGACTGCAGAAAGTACGAGCTCTCGTCTAGCTAGAGTGTTATCAAGAGCTGACTGAATCATTCGATTCGACTCCACGCCCTCGGTGTCAACTGAACTCTCAGGCCAGGGAATTTTTTTTGATACCACTAGCGGCGCAAATACCTGGCTTGACTGCTGTTGACTTCGGTAATATTAGTACTCGGTATCCCAAGCGAGCGGTAGACTTATTAGATTTGCCAAGCCAAACAAACAAACCTCGGAGTCTCCTCAAAAGTTGTGCCCGCGGAGCTGGCTTTTTCTTCATTCGAATGCCATCCATTATTTTGTTCGTAACCAAGGAAAGTTGTATCCCGAGATATGCTGAGCCAAAGAAGGGATGGCGACATGACAAATTGACAAGCTGGGTCAAGGCCTTTTTCAGATCCCCCCTCCCAACCTTGGCTCTCTCAGCTGGTGGCTTCCCATCTTCAAGGCTCTCTGGCTAGTGGTACCATACCGGTACCTGGTTTCAAGTGCACATCTTCACAGTCAGTTCTAAAGGTAGCTCTGCTTGCAAGCAACTGGGACCGGACCTTTAGCTGAATAAGGGCTGACTCGCGCTGGACTCCCACTTCTCTAGAGTTGGGAACACTAACCCTTTAGCGGCGCACCTCCCCCCGTCGACAATTTTCTTGGCTAACGGTCAGTCACATTGGAGCAGCTCGGTGTCTGTGGCTGCGCTCTGCGAGCTATTGAATTTGGCTCGGCATTATCAACATACAGGCATGTAGACTGATACTTGCAAATTTTTTGTTGACAAGCGCACCTCTGCTACTTGGTAGGTAAATTGCCTAGGATTCTCGTAAATCCTGTCCCAACGCTCACCTTGGACGTTAGGCAGAGCTTTCGTTCGTGCTCCATTCAAATCACAAAATCGAGCAGGGAAACAAAACTGAGATTGATCGTTCAGCACAACAGAAGCAACTAATTTGTGTCGACGCATCACAAATCACTTTCGCTTTTAGCCATTGCATTACATCGCAATTTTCAGCTCACAGTGAGTTAGTTGCCTTGGAAGACCGGCCGTATTTGAGACCGAGTAGAACCAAGTTGTAGTTCGCTTCTCTAGTCGCATCAGGACTCTTACACACCGTTTCTGGATTCCATTCTTAGTATAACTGCAAAGTCGCAATGTCAAGGATCTTGCTCCTTCTGACGGTTGTATTGGCTGTGTTCCTGAACACAGCCGCCGCCTCGAGATTGAAATATCGAAGGCGAGCAGGTGGAGGAACCAGGGGTGAAAAGGGAATCAAGCCAATCAACAGACGTGCTACTCACCGTTCACCAAGACACCTAATGGGGCATTACTACGCTCATGACCAGTTTCAACATGGCTACCAACCGCCTGTAACCAGCAGCAAGAGCAAGGGTAAGGGCGGTGGCAGTAAGGGGAGGAAAGGAACCCCACCCCAGAACCGTCCTCAGATGAAAAGCCGTCCCATGTGCCGACCTGTTGTGGAAGGCGCAGAATTCATTGTGGAAGGAGCCATCACAATGACAATGGCCAACATGACTGAGGATAGCACTGTTATCGGATCCGAATTCATCTACAACGGGCCACTTCTGGAGTTCAACGATCGAGACGAGCTGACGGAGTTGGAAAACTTCTTCCTCTCTGGATCATGCATGAGAACACAGGAACGAGATGACGAGATGCCAGGTGCTGGTCACTGTGCATTTACAGTCACCCTGGACACCGGAGCAACCATGAACTTCGGAGGTGAGGCTTTTGATGGTTGGGACAACCTCATGGCAATCAATGGTGGTTCACAGGAGCTCATTGGGCTGAGCGGGACAGTGACATTAATCGGCCTCAATGACGACTTCGAAGACACAAGTGATGATTTCTTCTCGGTGCCATGGATCTATGGCGAGGCAGTTCTCGTGTATTCGATCTGCCCACAGGGCTATTGGGACCGATATTACATAGATGACCATGATGCACTGCCACCTCCTTCGATTCCAGATCCCTTCCAACGAAATGTCCAAGAACAACAACAAGAAATACTTGCAGTGGTCGTCGAGCCAGTTGATGACGACGACGATTATGGCTATGACTATTAGCCAACAGTGTGTACGGCCAGCAGTTTGCTTTGCCCTATGATTGGCCCATTATGATTCGTTGCATATACTATGAATACTAAAAGACAGAAAAATTGAAATACAGACGTCGTTCTACATGTATCCATTGATCCTTCCGATCGACTTCGGAGCGATCGTGGGGTTCGGAGTGCACGAGTTGCGAAACATGAAAGATGTAGCTAGCTAACACTGATATTCTAGGATCAACCGGTGAGCTGCCGAGAAATTGGTTGCCTAGCCAAGCGTAAACTGTGGTTCCTTCACAATCTCCTTGAGTTCGTCATTGGAAGCTCGTGGTACTGCCAGGAAAGCTGAAGTTTGGCCTTGAGCCAGAGATGTTGGCAAGCTACTCTTCCTACCACTGTCAAATGCTGACGCGAATAGCACTTCATGTCCTTGTTGCAAGGCAACGATCAACTCTCGATCAATCACGATCTCGTCAAGAGGGCATTTAGTAGTGCAAGGAAAGAAGACTATGTCTTGTCGTGGCCAGACATATGATAAGGTATCCCCGAGAGGCCAGACGCTCACAGCTTCGCCCCATTGGGATGCTTCTGCTTCATCAGATGTTGCGATATGGCCTGTGGATGGTAGCGCCCTCGTTTTGGATCGTTTCAGTCTCGTTTCCAAGCACCGAAAGTACTCTGGTGCAGCAGGATCGTCGTAGGTACCCGGAACAAGCAAATCGGGCTCTGGATCCAACAGCGTTACTCGATCTGGTATGTTCTCCCCTCGGTACAGGAAACAACCCGCCGTGGCTACTGCAAGTCGAAAGGCTTTGGGCGTATAGTTGCAGATCATCCTCGACAAATCTTCCGGGTTAGATTCAAGTTGTTCGTTGCTGAGGAGGAAAGTGCCACCAATAGAGTTGGCAGCAACACTCAGCAATGCGCGGCGGGAGTCCACAATAACCATCCTTTTGCTTTGTTCTCGAGGATGGCTCTTGTAAAAGGAATCTAACTAGTAGTGTTAGGCTGGATCCTTTTCGTCGATCTCTTCTAACATCATGCAAAAGCAGCACCTGTTGTTTGTGTTGTCGAACTGGAGCCAGCTTCCCAGGCAGTCCCGATGAACAGACCAGTCACGTACTGCTGCGAACGGCATTTTTTCCATGGCTTGAGGACGAAACTTTCAACATATCATGCTAGCTGCTCTAGCTAGCAGTACGTACCGGTAGACGAAGATGACATTTGCTAGCTATTAGAGATTGCCTTCATGTTGCCTGGCGAAACGGCCTTTTATTCTTCTAGCTAGCTATTTAGTTAGGAGATTGATCCGTGCACTGTTGACCGTGATAGTCTTTCTGGGTCTCGTCGTCGTGTGGATTCGATCCTCTCCTTTGATTTTTAAATATTCGTGGATGGATGCAGACGTTGTTGAAAGGGGCTGCAACATGCCGGTATTCCCACCATCAAGTTGGCAGGTGGGCTTAGGAACGCCTGATTGTCGTAGCAATGCCCGATCTGTTGCAGTAGCAGCTAATCTTTGGAAGCAGCTATTCTTTGGAAGGAGCGTCATCAAACGGAGAGGAAATGCCTATACGACGCAGAGTAATGTACCAGTCCAGACAAAGCTGCATATCGGCAATATCTTCTTCAGAAAACTCCTTCAACGGGTCATCATCGTCGTCATCCTTCTCCGCCTGTGTATCAAAACGAACCTTGAGAATAGTTCTCAAAAAGTCCGATTGAGAGACAGCTCCACACAGCATCGTCTCTCCAGTTTCGTCGTCATTAGAATCTGGGGCGGATGTAATGTCCGTCTCGAGAAGCAGCTCGGCCTTTTGCATGGCGTCCCAATCGGACCGATGGGGTGCGACGTGAATGGCAAGTCGATCCAGATCCAGCCTTTCAGCGTCTTCGCTACCGTCGACACAGCCTCCATGGTGCGCAACACCTTGGAGAATGTGACCAACCACCTCGCAAGTTTTGGCTGCCAACAAGCCATCATCATTGGTCTTGCCAGCCAAGTCAGCCACCATTTGGTGCACAGATGTGCCCTCAGAAAAGCGGCGGTAAGTTTCGCCCCAAGCAGCACTGCCTCCTGCATGCGACCATGGCTTGGCATGCTGCAAAAAATCAGGTCCTAGCGGCAGGGGATCATCGGTATCGTCCGTCTCATCGTTATGATCCAGTGTTGTGGTTCCAGTCCATAGCTCTGGCATGACCATCCAAGCCATGTCATCTGCCACTGGGCCATCTGATGGACGAAAGCGAGGACCCCAGGCAGCATAGTTCATTTGAGCATGGTGATCTGCTTCCTTTTGACGAAGAGATGCGTACTCTTTTTCGGTCAATCCTGCAGGAACGTAGCCACTGCTTCCATGACGAAACAATCCAGAGGGATCTTCGTAGGCTGGTGTGCTCGTGTCCACATCTGGCGATTTTGTGGCCAACTTGTTGACGACAGAACCCAACCGATGAGTAGTAGGAACCAAAAACCCCGCCACCAACGACAGGCTAGCAAAAGCAAAAGTATACACTATGGAACTGATAGATCTCATCCTGTTCACCTCTAGCTACTAGCCAGTATAGTTAGTCAGCCTTCATCAGCCGAGGAAATGGGCACGACAAAGATACACTGTGGAGTGCGGAATATCGGCACATGTTGGGTAGCATGCATCGGAAGAAAGGAGTTGATGGCATTGTTCCCATTTTTGTTCTTTCTGTCAAGAAAAGTTACCACATCAGCTCCTCTCCCCCTTACCTCTAATGTTTTCGGCTGTTGTCATCAACAACGGAAACAAGGAGCGAGAGAAGTTCCGTGCCTCTTGGTTGCAAAAGGTATCTTTCTCATTGTTGCAGATGACCCTCTCAAGTCTCAAAAATGAAAAGGTGTCACCGTGCTGTGCACTGTGTTGGCTGACATCAGCCATCAAATTTCCTAATTCACGCGAGAATAGTGACTGTTTTGAGAAAGCTATCAAACAGAAATCTTCTTGCCTTTCTCATTTTCACAGGACCACATTGTGTAGTAATCCGCTTTTGATCTCAATACACAGGACCAACACACCATGTCGTCCCGGATTCTCATGCGTCCTATCAAACCGGTCCTGGCTCGGTCCAGCAACGTTGTTCGCTTGAACAACCCCGCCAGATTGAGCACAACAGTTGCTGCTGCCGCACCAACAACAACGACAACTAACAAGGGTGTGTGGGAAAGACCCGTCGCCTGGATATTGGCTGGAGCCTTTGTGACGGCTGCATCCATTGGATCTGTGAATCAGCAATCTTTTCCGAGTGGGGGTACCGCGTCTACCACGTCTCTCGATGCTCTTGGTACTCTTCCACTTCCACCAATACAAGTCGGTCCTGTATCGGTATCTTCCAAAAATCCTCATGTGGAATCCTCAGCTGCACAAGTCAAGAAGGAGGAGACAGCCGTGCAGCAGCGGGAAGAACCAGAAACGGGCATATCGTTCCCACCCTCTTTTCAAGCCAAGGAGTTGCTAGGACTTGGAGTCCGAAAGAAGTACCAGTTTTTCAATGTCTATGCCGTGGGATTCTATGTGAATAAAGAAGATTTCCGTGGTTTAGACGAACAAGACTATGAGGAAGCTTTGCTGAATCCACACAATCATCGTACGGCTCGCATTGTTATGAACCGGACGTTGACAATGGACAAAGTAGTTTCTACCTTGATCGAGTCATTGGAGCCTCGCATGCACGGACGAGACTTGTTTGCGTAAGTCGTGGAAGTCATGTATCTACACTATTGAAAGATGCATACATCATGGCAACGTTGGTCCGACAGACTGCATCCTCAGCTCTATAACCTTTCTTTCTCTATTCTTCTTTTGTCTGCTTCACATTCAGACTGGATCACTTTTCAAAGATGCGAAAATATGGAAGTCTCAACAGAGGCGACGAGATCATTATAAACATTCGAGGGAACTCGGTGGAATGCAAGTGTAGCAATGGTGGCCAAAATGTGGTAGTATCAGAGGTGTTTACAAGGGCAATTTGCGATGTTTACTTTGGCAAACAGCCGATTAGTCCGGCGGCAAAAGAATCTGCGATCAAGGGTATCAGTGATCTTTGAGCAAAAACTTGGGTGCCTGTAGTCCTTGTTTTTGAGAGCTGCTGTGATAAACATGCCCCGGATGGTCCTTGAAGTATTGCATGACGATAGAGGGTCTGCCTGATCCACTACTGATACCACTTTTTAGAAGTCACAATGGATGCACGTAGGGGCATGCCATGCACGTTTAGGTTCATGTTTTTGCACGATAAGAGTTCTTCCTTCTTCTAACTAAACTAAGGCCACTGGATCTCGGTTCTTTCATCTGTACCGTCGTCAGATGCATTTGCCGATGATATCCGAACAACCAAATATTCCTACAGTATCGTTTGTCCCACTGTACCTGGTATCGGTCTGGGCGTCGAATTTCCCGCTGGCGAGGGTTGACGATTACAGCAACTATTACAGCAGCTATTACAGCACACAAATAGACAAACACAGCGCTCTTGATACTGAATTCCTCACCTGGACGGCAAGACGTGGGTATCTTTTAAAAGGCTTGCTGGCTTGTATCTTACCGGAACCGGTACGCGTACCGGTACCGGTATGCTTTGGGGGGGCACATGAAGGCAACCAAGGACCTCGTCTCCTCCCGCTCTATTAGTACGGAACCTGCTCGTTTACTCCTGTCCAACTTGCTGGTGGCTGATATCAGTGCCTACTGGCTAGCTATAGTATCTACACAACTCGGAAAGCAGATAGAGAAGGTACATTGAGTCACATGAAGTAGTCTTATAATATGCAAAAGTCATCGTTTCTACAGCCCAATAGGAGTTGCAATGAGATGGGGAAGCAGGAAGTTTTGAACGGCTGGGGCGAAGCGGGAAGCATTGAATGTGTTTGAGGTTGGGCCTATCATGTGGAGTGTGTTGCGTATGAATCATATGAAGTCAGGGAAACCAAAAATCCCCATTGCTTGGTTGCATGCATGACTGGCCTATAGTTTTGAGTATCGAAGATGATAGTCATCGACTGCATCGTCCAGGGACATTGGTCCAGGAGCCGCTGCTGGGGTGGCATCGCTAGCAACGCTAGCACAGCAGCTTTGTGGGGAATCACGCCCGGGCAATTTCAGTTTCAATTCTGAGGGATCGGATGTTTCCATGGCATTGGCAAACGCGGCTAGTTCTTGACTGCCACCCCCCTTGGCTTTCTTCAATGCCGTCAGCAGTTCGCAGTTGGCTTGGTTGAAGGCAGCCTGAAGTTCCTCTGTAATTAATTGATGTAACGGGATTGTGTTAGTTGGGACGTGAATATCAAAGATAGAACTTGAGCCGTGCGTGCGCCATTTAGCCGTACCTTCTGTTTTTGCTGTTAGAGTTAGTTGCTTGACTCGTTCAGTGATATCGGGGCAGTTTGCCCTCATAAAGTCATCAATATCGTCGTTTTGCTTTGCCTGCAGCTCCTTGCGGCGAACTTTCTTGGACTTGGTGCTGGATTTGTATTTGTGCGAGATCATGTCACGCTGCAGATCGAAAGAGAAGGATTGGTGAGCAATGATGTCGAGGCTCCTTTGTCTTTTTTATGCTTTGAGAAACTTACCAGTGTTTGTCCCACTTTCTCTCTGGCCACATGATCCCCTGAAAGAGATAGCAAGAGGACGATGGAAAAGTGTCAGGAAAATGCCGTTGTTTGGAGGGTTTTAGTCACGTCATGGCTGTCGTACCAACTTCAATCCATTGCCCATCCAACTGTCGAATAAATCCCCCATCAGGAGAGGCATTTCGAATCTTATCAATGATAGCCGTGACGATGACGCTCTTGTCCATCTTTGATGTTGCTTTCTTGTAGGCGTCGATGTGGCTGTCGATTATTCGCCTAAAGGCCTTGTTCCCTTCCTGTTTAGTGAAGTCAAACGGAACAATGTATCAGCCACATTGGATGCAAGATCGTTTCCAAGCTGGAAATATCGGGTAACTTACATGAGCCAAGGCTTGTTTTCCTCTAGAGCAAATGACGTCCATGGGACCAGGAACGAACTGAGCACCGAGCTCTCGGGACGAACCGTAGCAAATGGAAGGCCTGACATTTCGAGCGAGCTTGGCAATACCACTCTCTGCTGTCTTCATGATCGGAAAATTCATGTAGTGAATCATTGAGCCGGTTACTTTGTTTTGCAGAAACTATGACAGGAAGGTGCTTGTAGCGACGTTTGTCGATTTGTAACTCTCAGGTATCAGAGAGATGATTTGTGAGCTCTTGGGAGGCTTTCGTTTTGCTTGGTTTCCAGCTCCCTTCTGCTGCGACCCTGTTTGGTTTGGTTGTGCTTTTTGGTAAACTCTTGGGGCCACAACAGTCCACAACGGGTTTTCTGCTTTTACCGGACACACCAGGCTGAAAAGAAAGTGGAGCTACGGGAAAAGAGCTTTTTTACTTGTAGCCTTGCGTGTGTCAAACCCCAAGTTTGAGTCAATATTCCACTTTGAGTCTTTCTTTCATCTCATGAAAGTTCCATATCCTGCTTTCTTCCAGATTGAAAGTCTCTTACACAAATTTAGTATCAAGGTGGCGTCAATTCTTCACATTCAAGCATTCTTCCAATTTGAGTCATCCTTACTTTTTGTCTTCTTCCCAAAATTGAAGTGAAAAAAGCAAAAAAACATTCCCGCAACTTCATCAAAGACCCAGTACTCTTACGTAATCTGTGATCTCCATCGCACTGGTTACGGCATGTTGTGTTAACCATGATTGGCCCCAGAGACCCTGGTCAAGTTTCCTTTCTCGCAATCTTTACCACATCATTTTGTCTTGAGCAGTCATTAGATAAACTCGGTAACTTTTACTGTGACAAAAGGTACACAAAGGAAGCACAAACTTAGTATCGGGAAACTCTCAATCTGCTAGCCTTTTTCGTAAAACTCTGAGGAAATTCAAAAAGTCTTTTCACCACTCCTCGAGGGCAAGTAGTTGATATTAGATCTACGTACAGTCGTACCAGGTACACAATTTAGGCATTTCGGGAATCATCATCACTCCTTCAAGGCTTCAAGGGCCGGTCGGTCCCTCTGAATCGGATCGAATCAATCAGAGAAACCTGGCCCAAATCGCGATTTGCACTTGTCATCCTCAAAATTTTCAATATTTTACTAAATAATTTGGTTTTGGAATAGTCTAATTCTGATTGGGTTTGTAAAATCGTGATTTCCGGCGCTTTCATAGCAGTACCGATGTCAAGTACCATACACTACAGAGTCTCCTTGAAGCTGCTAAAGTAAAGTCTGGAAACATTTCGGTTCGGTTTGAAACTTGCTCTTTGCTGCTCAGCGAAAATATCTCGAGAGTTTCCCGTTCTCCTAACTATAGAAAGTTCAGTAGTATTTGAGCAGCTTTGCTCCTCCACGAGAGCACTCCCGCACGCCCGTCTCTTGTCTACACGCCAACGAACTCTCCCACTTGGTCGTGAGGCATCTACTCTGTCAGTCTCCGCTGGTATCAAGAGGGCGAAAAATGAAAGCGGTACCATGGAGCATGGAGGTATTGACGAAAGATCATCTGTATCTGCTGGCTACCGGTAGAGACATCGTGGATAAGACCAGGAGGGGGAAAGCCAGCTACTCCTAACTCCTGGCTGGCTACGTACCAGCTGGTTACCAGTATTATTACTACATTCCTTAGAGAACCTACCGTATGGGAAGGTTTTTTTCTTCTCACAGTCTCACAGTACCCTGTGCCTGCCGCCTTGTTTTACATGCACAGCCATGCAAAACAAGAAGAAGCTTGGTAATAGATACCGGTACCGGCGGAGAGCTGCTGGTGGCAATTACTAGCTATTACTCACTGGTGGACGTCCCGCCTTTTGCCGCTCCTGGTAAAGATCTCGAAACTGCTCTCTTTGTCGACCGGTGAGTCCTGTTCCACGTTCAGGTCTTGAAACTCCCCTCTTTGTCGACCGTCCACGCCCTGCTGTTTACCGGTGGCACGCGCACTCGGCTTGTGGGGGTGGTCAGTCCCAAAACGGTCTTTCTAGTGATTAGAAATAAGGTTTTGACGTGACGTCATCTCTCTGAGCTTTCGTGACAGGACTCAAACTTACCCCTTTTCTGAAAATTCCTCCAGCCTCCAGTGATTGACCCAATGTCAACAAGGTTGACCTACTAGCTACCGGTAGCTAGCTGGTCAGATGACGGTCATTGATGAAGGTTGATGAATGTTGATGGCGATTGATGGCGATTGATGAAGGTTGATGAAGGCTGATGAAGGTTGATGAAGGTTGATGAAGTTTGAAGAAGGTTGATGATGGTTGCATCGTTCTTACATTGAGGGTGTTGCAGTGTTGTTGCTCCTTCTTCTGAGCGTGGAGCAATGTCTTTTCTTAGAATCTAGGATTCAAGTAAGCAAGAACTGAAGGGCACACATCTTTGGCCATGAAAGAAAATAGCTGTGTGGTTGTGGTTGTGGTTGTGGTTGTGGTTGGGGATTTTTGCATTTCAGTTCACGGGCAAAAGATCCTCCTCTTGATGTGCGCTGATGTGCGCTCTAGAGGCAGGCAGGCCGCCAGAATCCATTGAATGATTCAATCATTCATTCACCATGGCGGCAATGTCCCAACTAAAGCATTGCTTGGTACGGTACATCAATTTCATCCTCGTTGCTTCTACTGGCAAGGAGAGTTGTGAGCTTTTGGTTTTGGCCGTTCCAACGTAGCTATCTAGCCAGCGGTTGGAGCCAAGGTGTTTTGCGGTGTAGCCTTGGTTGTTCAGCTTCGTGCATATAATTTTGACCCACGACCGAGAATGCGCCATACAATGTTGCACAGCCAAAGCTTCACCTGAACCTTAAACTTTGGGTGAACTGTAATAACTTTATTTTATTGTTCGCGCTTCTTGGTTTCCTTGAATTGCATCACACAATACAATTCTCGCTGTTGAAGGAGGAGGCCGAAGAGAGCCGACAAGACAATGGTGGACACCAAACCGTCTGGAGAAACAGACACTTCATCTAATATAAGTCAACCTATCGGTCGTCAACAAACAGTGGCCGAAAACCAAAGAGTTGGTGGCGACAATGACGGTGGCAATGACGAGGACAGCAATGACGATGAAGCATCGGTGGACTTGTTGAAGACACAAGACGAGTGGAGCGATCAAGATGATGAAGAAGACGATGAAGAAGACGACGATTTCTTTGATCTCAAACCAAAGTCCTCTCCAAGCACCAACGCGAGAGGTGACGGCCTCATCGTGGCGTCGGCTTTGTCTCCTCCGAGTTTTCACGATTCAACACATAAAAGCAACAATGCTGAAACTTGTCGCGCCGTCGCTGCCGACTCCCGCTCTCCGGCTACCAGAACAATAGACCGTCTTTCAGAGCAATCCTCTCAATCAAACCTACTATACGACAAGACCAACATGGACAGGGACGCAGCGTCGGTCATGATTCAATTGTCACAAACAGAGAGCATGAGCAGTGCCAAAGAGTCGCCACACCGACCTCGCTGTAGCAATGGCAGGGACGCAGCCACAAAGACGAATACAGCAACAAAATCGAGCACAGCAGTCGGAGCAGCTAGTCCCCTGCCACCGCCACAGCCCGAACCAAAAACGTGTAGTGATTCTGCCACGGGTTCCCCTCAACGCAAACAGCAGCAGAAGACGAAGGTGCAGTTCCCAGCACCAAACGAAAGATCAAACGTACAGACGGAACAACATCTTCGGGAAAAGCAAGTCATGACGAAGCCAGTACAACACAAGACAGCCGCAACCAAATCACAGCAGCACCAACAAGGAGACACGACAACCAACACGGCATCCACGGCAAAAGCCGCTCCTCCGTTTCCAGGTGAACTGACCGACTTGGCCAACTACGAAATTCAACATTACAATATTGCGGTACATGGCCGTGTGGGAGTTATAATTCACAATACCAGTGAACTTCCTGCCGACTTGATTACAGGAGCAAAAAACTGGCGTTACCCCCAGATCAAGGAGGTCAATCCAGGATCGATTGCCTATGAGCACGGTTTGCGAACCGGCGATTGGTTTCTAGCCGACTCCAAAGCAGAGTCTCTTGGAAGCTATGCAACCATCGTGAACCAAGCAAAGAGCAAGAAACGACCTCTCATTTGGTACGTGGCAAGGAGGAAGGACGACTCGAGACAACAGGGAGTCGGTACCTTGGACGATGAGATTGCGCGAGTGGTGGATCAAGTCGTCAACAGACCCGAAGATGAGGAGCGGTTAGTCCCGCTGATCGAGGCGCGTACTGTGGCCCATCAAAATCCAACAGCCGGGGTAGCCACTGTCCCAACGCCAAAGGGAACAATCCCGAAACCAAATGACATTCCGCAAAAGCCCAAATCTACCAAGACAGTACGGCGCAAAACGACAAACAAACCGACAAAGACAGGTCGAGAAGGCACCACAAAGGCCAACCTGTGGGACTCAGATACGTCGAGCGATGAAGAAGACCCCGACAAGATAAGGGCTCCCTTGGTCATCTTACCGAATCATGACAAAGTGGTCCCTTTTTGCAAGCTGTGCAAGATGCTGCAACAAAAGAAGAGGAAGAAGCCGTCTTCTCGTTCCGTACACCATGCTCTTTGTCCTCGGAATGATTTCTTTGAAGATTCCAAGGCCGATTGCATCTTGCAAGATTTGATCACAGGTGTGAAGCTCGATTGTAGCGCCTGCAAGAAGTCCTATCAAGTCGGCAAGGTAGAGAAAGGTGAGAGCCATGTCGCGTCATGCCCATTCCACAAGAGCAAAGTCACCCCTGGGGCAAAAGAAGCCAAGAGCAACATTTCACGGGCAAAGAACGCGTCCCTGGGTGTAACCGATGAGACCAAAGGGAAAGATGAGCGTACCACTGACCAGAAGAAAGAAAAAACAAAGAAAGAACCGAAACGTGCCAAGTCGACGAATCCTCCCAAACGAGGCTCGACGACTGCGGTTGCAAACCACGCAACCGCAAAGTCGTCTCCTCCGACCATTGAAACATCCCGCCAGGATGCCGCTACTTCAGCTCCCACTCTTACACCGCCCAATCTGTCCCAACAACCCAAGCGTCATACACCAGCAGCGGCGGGACCAGCTGCAAGACCGTCACCAAATGCGTCCGAAACGGCAGGAGACAAAAGGAATCCGCCACCACCACAAGCTAGTCAGCCTCAGGCACCAGTAGTTGCAAAGAAAGCGACTCAGGTACCAGCAGTTGCAAAGAAAACGACCGCTAGCACCAAAAAAGCAGCCAATAAAAAGAAGGCATCGACCACGAACACCACCACAGCTGATCATGTGGTGTCGCCCTCGAACGGTGGCTCGGCGTGCCGTCAGGAACATCCCCGCAACGAAGGAGGCTCTGCTATGCTGATGTGTGCTGCCTTGGAAAATCCGCTGGGCAGGAATCTGGGACATTCTCATTCACAGCCAATGCAAAGACAAGGACAGCACGCTGCAACAGCTGCGACTGCCATGGCCGCCTTACACCCAGGCAAGCTAACCGACTACCCCAAGGCCAACGGCACGTCAAAGGAGGTCACGGCAGCTCATAGAACACCAACAAGCTTTGGCGTCTCTCGCGCCTCTACAACATCTGCCAGTGCATCGTCAGTGTCAGGCAATCCCCCGAGCAACAAAGATCAGAGAACCTCGCGAGAAGACGCTTCCGACAAATCTGGTCGCAACCAAATCGAGTGGATCCACCACGAGAATCCGTGGGGGCCTGCAGGTTTCCAGTTGGGCGACGTTGCAATTTTCACTCAGAGACGTGGTATTGGCCACCACGAGTCTATGCTGCCGTCTGAGCGCTTCGTTAGTGAGCCATTCTCAGCCGATACGAACTATCACAAGACACATCGAACGCCTGAAGAAGGCTATCAGTATATCCGGTTGCAAAGGGATGACAGGGCGCAACGATCGTGGGGTTTCACTGTGCGTCGCCATGACTTTGGTGGAGCCTGTCTGGTAGAAAGGGTTGACCCCATGTCACCGGCAGAGAGCGCCGTAAGTTATACTCCGTCTGCATGCTGGAGGCTTCGAAGAGTCTGCTCAAGCAAGCTGACCGTCACTATTACATATTCCTTCGTTTGTGTGTTTCACTTCTATTCGGCAGGTGTTTGTGGGCATGTCAGCTTCAGGCATCTCAGCGGCTCTTTCTGTCAACGACATGCTTGTCGCCATAAACGAGAAACCCGTTGGAGGGATGAGCGTGGAGGGAGTCAACATTGAACTGGAGGTAAGTTCGATTGGGGTGCGTACCTCCAGTTGCGACCGTCGTATGTGCCATCCGATTCATCATTCGATTGGATACTCAACGTTTGGCATCCTTGCACAGGTTGCTGGTCCGACCATGCTTCTGGTTGTTTCGAGATACAGATTTACCGAGCATCTTAAGGATAGTATCGTGGAGGTGGAAGAAAACGTCGTTGCTGCCATCGATGAGGCATTCAATGATGAGCGAAGCCTTGCTTGGGTTGACGGTAACGGAACCACAGCGACTCAATCGGGGACTCCTTTGTCGACAATGGCCTCAAAGGTATTGAACAACCTGCTTGTATCGAGACCGGTCAACGGCACTGCAGAAGCGGCTACGGTGAGCCCTTCCAATGACACGTCCAGTCGCGCGACAGAGGGGGAAACACGAGATCACGTTGTCGAATCCCATTTTGAGACTCCACAGAACAACGATCCGCAAAGCGAGGGCTCCCTTGAAGAAATGAGGCAGGCCGATTGTGGTGATGGCTTAGATACGGTGAGTTGCTATGGCAAGGTGGGCCGTGACTCCGTGCAGGCCAGCCATGACGAGACAGTGGCAATTTCCATGGACATCGACACAACTCCTCCAGCAACCAAGGCATATGACGTCCGAAAACCTTGCCCCTTGGTACGCATGGAAACCAGCGAGGCGAGAGACGATACTCAAGGATCGCCCCCGAAAAAAGCCGCGCGGTTCTTCACACATCTTCCCGACAAGCAGAATGGTTCCAAAAAGATTGGTGACGGTCGCAGCACGCTTCGGGTCCCTGCTGCGCATGCGGAACTGCAAGAGTCATTCGGAGATGATATGCAGGAGGAAGACAGGAGTCCTTCGGCCGCCCAAGACAAAGGTGGTAAGAGCGCTCCTTTAGCAGCAACCGCTGAACCAGGCGAAAAAGAACAGCAAACTAGCGCTGCGCAAGGGGAAATCGCAGCTTTGGCGGCTCTACCGGTATCCCGACCTAGCCCAATGGACGAAGAACAGCAACAAAACGACAGTGATGACAACAAGGAAGATGTTGCAGCAAAGGAAAGTGCATGCAGAGACGGCATTGACAACGAGGAGGATAGTGCCACTGATGAAGAGGAGGATGACGATGGGAACCCTGCCCTGGGATGCGTTTGCGGGGATATTCACGATAAGAGATGCGTCGTGTTTTGGGTGCAATGCGACTCTTGTGATGCTTGGTACAACGTTTCAAGGCGCTGTGTTGGCTTCAATGAAGAGCAAGCTCAAAAGAGGAACTGGTCTTGCTGGGCATGTTGCTCATCTGATGAGGAGGATGACGAAGAGCCTCGTGATTGTGAAGAAGCCCGAAAAGTATCCCTCAACTCTGACAGTGATGATTCCGACCAGTCTTCATCCCTCGCCTCCCCGAAAATTGCAAGGAAGCAGAAACGGAGGAGAGCATCTTTGCCCACCAAATGTGATCCTCGAAAACGACTCCCAAATGGCACCACGGTCGAGGTAGACCGTGAAGGCAGCCACAAATTTGGGGGGTTTGGACAAATCAAGGATTCGTACCTGGATGAAGATGGAATCTGGCGCTATTCTGTGAGTTACACCATTCACCGCTACACCGAGAATGACATTTCCGCCGAGTATGTCATGATCCAGAACTAAGATGCAGGTCATAATCAACCATAACCAAATCAAATTGTTGATGTAAAAGTTGAGATCGCATCAAGACTTCCCCCGCATGCAACGCCTTGCCTCAAAACCAAACAGTTAGTTGTTGTTAAGTAGTCTTACTCGAACAAAGCTTAGGCCACTCAAGTTGCTTGCAGAATCGAATCGAATCGATCCTTCTTCATTATCTCGTTCACAGAAAACACTTGAAAGCATCACCGTAGCATAGCTGTACTGTACCATGAATCTATCACTTGATTTGCTGGCTTTCCTTTTGATGTCCAGCCCTTCAAGCCACCGTCTATTTTTTTAAATCGAAAACTCAATTTCATACTCCTTGCCCCATTGAATTCTGGCCCAGATTCGTTCGTAAAAGAACATGAGGGCTGTCTTGAAAATAGCATCTGATCCGGCAATTTTAGAGGCAATGCTCAAATCCTTGGCCACAAAGAATGCCATTGTCAAAGTGTTGGCTATGGCAAAAAGCCTCCAAATAAGGGCCTTGGTCAGGGAACGCCCAATGCCATCACTGCCAGATGCTCGTCCTGCTTTGCTCTTGTTCATCAAGCGCTCCCCAAAAAACATTGTGAAAGCCTTTGAGAAGAAATCCGATCCCACAATGGACAGTGCTGTAGTGACAGATCCCGAAAACCTGTACGATGTGATAAAGGTGACAGTGCCCGCAACAATACGCCAAAGGAAGGCCTTGACCGCCGATCGCACAGCCGTTTCCGAAAAGTTACCGCCTGGTGGAGTCTTGGCCAAACTGAGTCCATTCAGATATTCTTGCTTTTTGGACTGTAACATTTCAATAGTGGCTTCTGCCATGCTCAATTTGGATTGTGCTTCTTCTGCTTGCTTTCGCATCTTGGCTTCTTTCTTCTCCAGACTGCGAAGGACAGCATCCTGAGGTTCGTCGCCGTTAGCACTGAAAAAGGCGCCGGCGGTAATGGCCAAGTCCGATCGAGGAACTCGAACAGGACTTGCAGCAGAAATGGATACCGGTATCAAAAAAGGACGCAATTGGGTAGCAGGTCTCAAACTGAAGCAGAGGGTTGCCAGAGGGAGCGCAGATACAAGCAACAGGCGAAACATCTCGGTGGTAGTAACTTTGTTGTGTGGTTGAATAATATAAAATTGTGCTACAGTCGTCAAGGGTCCATGTGGTCGGTCTTTGGTTGAATCCGCCAATGATTTTGGAAAAAATGATGGGAAGCCAAGAACGTAAGGTAATCGCGTACTCGTGGTCTGCGTGGTTCGGCAGCAACCCAAATCCGAAACGATCCTCGACCTCTCATTGGCTGTTCCATTTGTTCTGTTCCAAGAATTTCTACGAAGTCCAAACGTCCAAACGTCCTTGTCCCTGAAGACAGGTTTAATGGGTAGCTCAGGTAATGTTTACTCCTAATATTTGAATAGAAAGATGTGTTTACCAGGCCTACCTGAATTCCAAGCTGTCTTCCTCGCAATGCCGACCTCGTGCCGTGTGAAGTCTCAAATGATGACGGAGGCCAAGGGTTTTCCGCCGTTTCTCCAATCGTTTGATCCAGATGGTCAACCCCCAATGGGAGAGTGCGCTGATACACCACCTACTGTAGCAGCTGTGTAATGTAGCAGCTGTGTAGTGTGGCTACTCGACTAGAGCACAGGGTGGACCCTGAAACACCAAGGTCTGCTCAGAAGCTAATAGCCTAGCAACTGAAATTTACGTGCGATGCCAAATCATCAATTGCTATGCCACATGCCCTGATGAGTTGGCCAAAGCGCATGGATTTTCCTGGCCCACGGCTTCAAGGATCGTCTAGTGCTTTGGTCTTGGCTAATTGTAGCGGCTTTTTGGCCCATCAGGTACCTTTACTGCTTTCAGCTGTCTGTACTCGAGTAGTCTAGCTAACTGTACCACCCGCTGTCGGGAGTGCACTCTGAACTATGTCCCTCCTCTAGCTACAACGTAAACCCGTCACTCCTCCTGGACTCGAGGACAGGCGTCAACATTGCAGACAGTACATGTACAAGGCATGTTAGACGACATGGAAGCCTTGGCTAGTGCCTTCGGAAGGAAGGGGAGGGCAAACAGAGATTGCCAAGGTATGCAAAACAAATACGAAACAGATACGTTAAGGAGCGAGGGGGGCTAAGCTAGGCAGAGCAGTGCTGTGGTGGTGGTGGGCGTACGGGGAGAGCAATGAGGACGGGAGCAGGGCAAAGGGGGGCAGGGGAAGGGGTGCATGAGGAAAACGAGGAAGGAGAAAACAGCGGAAGAGTGCAAGTGCAGCATTGGCATCCCAGAGAGAATGACGGTAGCTCAATGTGCCACCAGGGACACGAGAGCCACGCATTCAGAGGTTAAGTGGCACATACATGTAAGTACATGGCATGTACCGGTATGCTTGCTTTGTTTCCACGTGTGCCTCAACAGCTCTGTTGTTCTATTTGAAGGTTAAAGATAATGAAGATACCGTATCTTTCTTCGATCTTCCACACCCTCAATCCTTTGTGCCCATTTCAAAAGCACTGGCAGAGCAACATCCCTACCCAAGCAAGTCGCAATGAAGAACCTCTTTTTCGCCTTGGTGTTGTTCGTTCTAACTGTGGCTCAAGCGTTCTCCTTTACTCCTGTTGTTGCTCCGTCCAAGATGAGTGGCGCTTCCTCCAAGACCAGTCTCTCTGCTGGACCCAACATTGAAGTCGTCTCCCAACCCGATAAAGACTTTCTTGAGAAAAAAGGTGTGTTCTCCTGGGGTACTTGGGGCTGTGAAGCTTCCAAATTTCCCTGGACCTATGATTCCAATGAATCTTGCTACCTGTTGGAGGGACAAGTTACTGTCACTCCAACCGATGATCGACCACCCGCAACCTTTGGGAAGGGAGACTTCGTCACGTTTCCAGCTGGAATGTCCTGCACGTGGGACGTCTCAGTGCCTGTGAACAAGCACTTCATGTTCTTCTAGAGACTTTCACAAGCTATCTACGTGACATGTCAGTAGCTAGAGTTTTCTCTTAGTATTAGAGATTTAGGATTGCAAGATTTTAGCCGAAACAGGATTCTTCATTAGCAGAGACTTCGAGTTAGCCTTGGTCACGGCAGCAAACCAAGCCACTTTGGCCACTGAAGGGAGCAATCAAGGCTGTCCTGTAGTCTGTGAGATTCTGGAAATGTATCTTGTGTGGGTGGGGGTGCAGTCTTGCCACCCATATATCCATTCGGGCAGGAGGGAAAAAACGCTCCATTTGGGTTGTCCAGCACCGGTATTGATCACCCCAAATCTCAAGCATCTTTTGCTTTCAACATGGTGTTCACTCGCTCTTCAATCCAATCATAGATTTCTCCGCTTCTTTTGTGTATTGCTGCTGTGTGGTCGGGACGTCTGCCTGCATGGATTTCTTCTGCGACTCCAATGAATATTCGAAACAACCGTACCATGGCAACTCGCACAATAAAGTTAACAATCCACTGAGGGAATAGACTTGAAATCTTGGCATCCGCAAACATGGAAAATCCCACCAGGATGACATCGTTCGAAGCAGAGTCTTGCAGTTGGGCGTTGTGGATGAGGCAAGGGTGGTTTGCAGGGCATTTCTGAAACACAAAACAAGCTTCAAAGTCCACTCTGACGACGCCTTTCTCCGGATAGGGTACTCGCTGGCCAGATTCGCCAAGCTCTTCTCCTTCTGGTTTAGGGCCAAGATGGATACCCAGCAGGCCATGTTCTTCCACATCTTCGACACCAATCGAGGAGATGATAACATCCCTCTTCCATGGTATATCAACATCTGCGTGTATTACCTGGTTGGTACGGCCTGTTTGAGCAATTTTGCGGACATGTCGTACGCCAACCGGTGGGAACCGCCATGATGGAACCCAAGTGTTGTACAACTCAGTTTCTACCAGCACTGCCAGAATTGGCACTAAAAGCTCTTTGTCAATGAGGAATTCAATTCTCGACGTAAGACGTCTCTGCTGATCCAGTTTGTAGTATACAAGCATGTCGTGTTTGCCATCATGGACTTCCCCTTGTTTGGTCCAAATGTTGGGGTCAGGCGGTGAGCTCAGGTCAAGAATGGTCGCTTCGAGGCGGTCGGCAACATCCAGGAGCTTTCTGTGGGAAAGCTTCAGAGAAGATCGGTCAATAGTACTTGAGTCAGAGGCGCCTCCCAGAGCAAGTCGCAATTTCCTTGCTGCCGCTAAAAGTTGATCATTTTGTGCATTCTTCTCCGCTTCCTGGATGAGCTCATTGGGAGTGAAGTTATGAAATTCCGATGGAATTTCAGAATTCTTCACTTTTGCCTGATTGAATTCCTCGTTCTTGCCTGCGGATAGCGGAGAAATTCGAGCATCATTTCCCTGTTTGTCGAATGCATGGCATAACGATAAGATGGGCAGAGTGAGGAGCAAAAGCGGCCGCATCGACTTGGAAGTTCATTGTTGTGAAGGCCGCTGAAATGTTGAAAAGATCTTCCAGAGATTGATTTCACAGCAGAAGCGTCAGTGACACGAAATTAGCCAGTGAAGCTGCACAGTTAACTGACCGTTAAAGTTGGCGCCAGCAAGCAAAGATACCTAATCGCGGAACGAGAAAGGACATCGTCAATCTGAGTTCACAAAATCGCTGAAGGCGACAATTTCTCTTCGAGTTTTTGTTTCGCGATCAACCCTGTGGCGCCTTATCGACGGTCCATCGTCTGCAGCAACAAAGAGAAAGAGCGACGACAATATACTACAAGCTTGCCAATGGCTTCACCTCGCACCAGCAAAGGAGGTAGCCTAGATGGTAGGCACGTTTCCTTCGCAGTTGAACTCGAAGTTGTGGCTCTGCGAAGCGACTCTCTACGAGTAGAAAGCGACTCTCTTGTCTTGTCTCCGAGAAGTAGCAGTCTGCCTGACGTCGAGGCCATGTCGTCTCCATGCATGTCACCATCGACATCAGAGTCCTTGATCTCTTTGACGCAAATCCGGGAGGAGTTTGACGTGGGCCGAAAGACGGGTGAGAACTACACCAGCAACAGCCCAGGTCGGACTCGTGCTGGGTGGCCTTCCGTGAGCTGCTTTATTGACAATCTGTGTGTCGACCCCAGTGAGAAGGGAGCAGAAATCATAATGGCGCGATCTCCTGCTGGAATTCCTACTAGAATCCACAAGGAGAGCTTGAGAGGAGATGCTCCGGGGCAAAAGTTCGAGAATGACCTGTTGTATTCAAACTCTCAAAACTCCAGCGCGGATCAAGATTGCAAGGGAGACGGCGAAGAAGGCGATGTTACAGTCGATGAGGAAGCATTCCTTCCAGATACAGAGGAGGTCTTTCTCCCCCCAGATGAAGACGACTCTGAGGCAGCGTTTCTGCCAAACGACCAAAATCTGCAGGACGAAGGCGCCTTTATACCAATCCAGGAAGAAGATCCTGCAGGTGTTGCCATTGCGGATGAATTCTTCGATGAAGAGAACCCCGAAAATGATCCAGAAGATGGACTCTTCGTAGAAATCGAAGAAGAAGAACAGGTGGGAGAAACAGTGGAATATGATGATTGCCAGAACACGGAAGAAGCGGCCGTCGAAGATGCCGTTGAAGACGATGTCGTTGAAACAACCGAACGAATTCTGGAAGAGGAACCTATGGAAGTTCATCTGGGAGATGCAACGGCGCATGTGGACGAGGCACAATGGGAAGACGCAGTCGAAGTCGAACACGTGCCGGAGGATCAACTTTCTGATTATGCAGAAGACGATCCAGATGACTACGAAGAACACCACCAAGCGGAGTCTGGTGAAGAGCAACTATCAGACTATGACGAGTGTCACCCTATAGACGAGGAAGTTGAAGAAGATCATAGCGCAGAATACGTTGAATGTCAGCCAGACGAATCCCCTGAAGAACATCCCTCAGACAATGAATATGAAGATCATCAAGAGCAAGACCCTGGCGAAAAGCAGCACTTGGAATGCGAAGAAAAGCATCCAGAACAAGAGTATGTTGAAGACCCACTCTCAGATTATGTCGACACTGTTGACGAAGCACAGCTTCTTGGTTGTCCTGACGATACGAAAGAGTACGAATCGGCTAAACCTGTTGAAGAATACACCGAAAAAGGCAACGAAGGCGACGAGAACCTCGAACAGCATATAGAGGAGGACACCGAGGATCTCACTTTCACGACCGACGACTACAGCGAAGAAAGGTGTACAGGCCGGCACACAACAGACGAACCTGACGAGGGAAACCCTGAGGATCAAGCTGAAGAAGAAATCATGGAGAATTCGTTAGAGCGTGAGGCAGCAAATGAAACCGAGAACGTGCAAGTCGTTGAAGTCAAGAAAGCCGGCGACAGCTTGGGTTTGAGTGCTTCAATGGAAGACCCCCCGGAAATTGTAGCTGCTTCTAGCGAGTCCAGCGAATCCACTACGGATGTCCTGGAAAACACAGCTGAGGCTTCTGTGGAACATCCGAAGGTAGAAGAGACATGCAAAGCAGAAATGCAACACACAGCACCCAAGGTTGCAAATGTCTATTATCATCTCGCTGCAGAGACTGAGTCCGCTGATCCCATCATGGCAACAGCAACCGACGATAGCGACATCAGCGAAGCTACCAGAGAGGAGATTAGAGAGTTACGAATTCAACTCAAGAACAGTGAAGAGGAAAAGCGCCGAGCAGTCACCGCGGCAGTAGAAGACATTGAAAGCCGGCTCAAAAGAGACAGCATGAAATTGGAACAGGAGCACAAGGAAGAGGTACTGAAGATTGCCGGAGCCATGAAAGTTGCGAGTGCTTTGAAGAATGAGTTTACGGCCGACGAAGAATTCGGCGAACTGAAAACACTGAAGAGCAGCTTGGGAAACTTGTTGAAGAATCAAAAGGCCACGATTGAATGCCTTCAAGCCTCCGTAGCCGAGAAGGACTACCATATAGAAGAGTTGAAAGCTGAGCTTTCACAATCTGGCCGCCAGGAGAAAGACATCCAATCCTCTCTGAAAGTTGCAGAAAGGACTCTGATTTCAGTCAAGGCGGAACTCACTTCTTCCAGAGCAAAATCAAGGACCAAGATTAACACCCTGGTGACCTCTCAACGGGCTGCCGAAGAAGCCCTTGAGGTGGCAAAACAGACCATCGAGAATCTCCGATACAAGCTTCTTCACGCGGAGGGATTGCTCGGAGAAGCTCGCGATCAACTCTTCAAGGCTCACGAGAATGCGGAGACTATGAGGCAGTTGCAAACGGAGAGAACGGATGCCATCGCAAAGCAAGAGGAATGCAATTCACTGATTGAGGAACTTCAAAAGGAAAACAAGGAGATGCGAAGTTTGACGAATGATCAGTCGAAGGACATCGTTGACAGGGAGACTACTATCTCGGAGTTGAAGGAAAAGATCACGCAGCTCGAAAGGTCGTGCCAAGAGGAAATCAAATCGAAGGATTTTCTCCAGCAGGTCAATCTGGAGCTGGAGAGCATGATGCGACAACAGAAACAATGCGTGGAGGATAAAGAGCGTGCCATGCAGGAGATGAAGAATGAGATCCGGGGTCTCCTTGTGTCGGTGGAGAATGCAGACATCGAAAAGCTTGACCTTGAGACTGGGCACGAGCAACACATCCTGCTGCTCAACGAAAGAGTAAAGTCGTTGTCGGAAGAATCTTCAAAACTGAGAGATATACTGTCAGTGTCATCACGGTCACACGAGTCGGTCGAGCACAGCAACAAGTCGGAGGATGTTCAGAAGGAAACACAGGAGAAAACTCAAGCGAGTCTGGACCAACAAGAAGTGGCTAAGGGGTCAACTTTGGAAGATGGCAATGACGGCAAAGTGCCTACAGAATCTACTGCGCCTGTGGTGAAGTGTCTCATCAATCCGTACGACTCCAGCACCAGGAAGGGTGTCGTTGACGATTCCAGCACCATCAGAACCAGTGTCGCAGCGACGACCAAAGAAGCCTGGACCGAGACAAAGGAACAAGGCGACGAAGTCGATCCGATCTTCTTGTGTTCCCAGGCAGCAAACAGTGCGAATAGCGAAAACGTATCGAGCCACTGCGCCTCCGATGAAGAAAAGCCAACGTGCAACTCGGTCGCGAGCTCGGGAGAAGCATCAGGTGAGGAAGTAGATCCAATTTTCTCTTGCTCTGCTGCTCTGGCGTCCAAGGAAGAAAGTCATTCAGGCTCTTACGCCACTGCTGAGGAACCCCAAGACGAAGGAACAGATTGTGGCAAACTAGCCATCTCCAATGAGAAATGCAAGGAACAACTTCAACATATGGACAAATCTGTTAAAGGGAATGCTAAGAGTGGCAAGCCGTCTTTGCAGGAAAAGCTTCAGCGCTTCTCGTGTGCATGCTACGCCAGTACACTGAGCCTTCAGAACTCGGGCGCTCTATCCGCTACCAATAGCCTCGCCGATGCTGTAGTACCTTTCGAAACTGGCTTTGTGGCAGAAGAAACGCACTTGGCCGAGCTGGCGGCAGCCCCTCCTCCAGAAGAGAAGAAGCTCATTGAGGACGCAGCCACACAAACCGAAGAGTGCGACACTGCAGTAGTAGATACCTCCGTAGCTGATCAAGAAGATTTGAAACCAATCAATGGAGTTGTTCTAGAGGGCGACGACGACGCCGAATTGACCCAAATCGAAGCAGTTTTGAATTCATTGAGCAACCTCGAATTGACGCTTCAGATTTCGAAATCGGCAAGCTCTGAGTGCGTTGAAGAAGAAGTGGATGAAAGCGTTCCTCCCGAAAACCAAGATGATAAAGTTAGTGCTACCATCTCCGAACCTGGACCGACAGAGGTATCGAGCTCGAAATGTGATGCCGTCCAAGATCGGAAGTTGAACGGCACCCCCAAGACGAAGGAGAACTCTCCTAGGCTCTCCAACTTGGTCCTACCAGAATCGCCTGGAGGTGATTTTGGCTACTTTGGAAACATGACGATGCCAGCATCACCGTTGACATCACCATTGACAACTAAGCTCGAGTCATTGAGTGGGCAGCTTATGAGAATCCTTAGTGGTCAAGAGCGTGAATTTCCGAAGAACATGCTCGAAGAAAGAGTTGGCATGTTCAAGATGGTCATGAGAACACTGCAGAGAGAAAAAGACAAACAGCTGAGGGAAGCAGAGCAGGAGAAGAGAAGAGCCATCGATGAGATGCGAGAAAAGCTTGAAGAAGAAAAGCGGGCATTCCTTGCTGAACGAGAACAGCTAGAAGAAGAAAAGAAAGCACTCATTGCTGAACAGGCCAAGCAAGCTGAACAAGCCAAGCAAGCAAAAGAAGCGAGAGCCAGAGACAACAAGGAGGCGGTGTCGAACACGCAAGACATCGTCAAGCCGTTTGCCGGAGAAACAGACGCACGTGCGAGACAGGACACCGTCGAACCATCCAACGTTATTACCGCAATACCCGCTCTAGCTGTTCAGCGCGAACCGTCACCAAATCACACAACCTCTGAGGACAAACAACAAGCGCAGACTGCAGCAGAGCCGATTGCAGTTGTAGTTGAGACTGTTCAGAGTGTTCAGAGCGACTACTCACCAGCTACACCGCCACCACAACCGCAGAAAGTTGAGTCACCACCGACGGAATCTCTTTCGGACGAAACAGTACAGGTCATTGTGGACGACAAGCCATACCAGAATAGTAAAGCCGAGCCACAAACCGAAAAGTCGCAGCAGGCTGTTGAGGAACCATCCACAAAACAACCCACCCATGACGCGGTCGAGGCCACCAACAAGCCAGAACAGGAAAATGAGGCTGCATCAAATGGAAACTCAGAGGTCGACAACTTGGAGGACGAAGACGCAAAGGATTCGGCGGCAGAGACGCCCGCGACGGTGGCTGATGAGGAGGACATTAAGGATGCTCCTCAAATGGATTCGGCCAATCTGTTCACGGAAACCCCTGCCGAAAGCCCTGCTCAGAAATCTGATGAAACTACTGACGAATCTCCATCACAAACGGCTGATGAAACACCGTCTCATGGCGAGCCGTCACAGCGAGTGGCTGCTCACGCCACATGTACCGCAACGCGCAAGCTCTCCATCGAGGTTTCCGAATTGGCGACCCCTTCGGTAGCAACGGACTCCAAGCCGTCCTCAGCGCAAGCTCCTTCCGGTTCAAAAAAGCAACCGAGCCCAACAGTAGAGCAAAAGCAAAAGGCTCCCAGAGTTCCTTTGCATCTTCGACCGCTTCCGTCGCCGACCAACAAGGCGGCCAAGCTATCTCCCAAGGTTGGTGCACGGTCTCCATCCAACTCTTCCTCCAAGTCAGCGAAACCAACACCCAAGTCTGGTGTTGTTAGAAAAACTACTGGTGTTTTAAAAGCACCCCAGAAACGCCCATCCATTCAACCTCCTAGCTCCAAACGTTCCTCTACCGGCATTCAACCTCGACCTCCCACCCCAACTTCAAAGCGCTCCTCTTCTGCAACTGCAAAGCGGTCGTCACTGCGACCGCCAACTCCGACTCCTCGACGCACTGCAATTCCGCCTCCAACAGCTTCTTCGCGTTTGACAACGGCTGCATCTGCGGCAAGAACCAAACAAAAGCCAGTAAAGAAACCTGCTGCAAGCACCACAACCAAGTCCACCACAACGGCTTCGAGACAAACCAAAACCATTCCTCGACCAGGTGTCGGGATCAAGACTCAACAGGCACAGGCAGGAAAGCGTACAAAGACAGCTGCGCCACCCCGAACAGTGGTTAAGCAGAGTCACGCAGCTCAAAAGCAGTCTACCAATGCCAAGAAGCCTGTCTCGGCTGCTGTTGGAAACAAGGCAAATGCCCCAGTGTCTCGGAGACCCCAGTCTATCGATACTGGAGATCTAGCTGATACGTTTGCCTCTCTCCAGAAAACGAGGGAGAAAATGTCCACCCCTTCGAACAAAGCTCGTGCTGTCCCGATCTCGGTTGATGGGCCACAAGTTCGCGATGATGTTGGCGAACCTGTAGAGGCGACCCCCGAAGAACGAATCGTTGTTGTTCAACCTACAGAAGAGAACGCTGGAGTAACACCGAGAGCGGTTCAGGATCCTGCCCTCGCGCAGGATCATAGCAAGCCGACTGCCGCTGAAGCCAACCCGGAGGCTGTCCAAGAGGAACATGTAGAGGAGGAAACTGGATTTGGGGATTCAAGACAGGAACATGATGACATTGGAAGCTTTCACGTAGAAAGCCTTAGCAGGTAAGTCGACAACAGAGTGTCTCGCTCATCATGATGGCAGCGTGCCACCACTCACATATACTTTTTCCTTCATCTCCCAGCATTACTGCCAGCATGACAGAACCTGACGGAGCCGAGGACTACGTAAATGTCCCACACCATGCTCTCAGCACAAACCCCCCAACCGCGAAACCTATTGATGCAGGGGACCAAACGATTCCAAAGCCTTTGGAAGAGTTGGCCCCCCAAACCGATGAAGACGAGTCAAACCAACCCATTGATACAACGGGTGATACAGCAGGTGAAGAAACGAACCTAGCTACTGCCCCAACCGCGAAACCCATTGATGTAGGGGACCAATCGATTCCGAAGGCTTTCGAAGAGTTGCCCCCCCAAACCGATGAAGCCGAGTCAAACCAACCCGTTGATACACCAGGTGAAGAAACGAACCTGGATAACCAACTCGTGGATACACCAGGTGAAGATACACCAGGTGAAGAAACGAACCTAGCTACTGCAGAAGAGCTGGAAACCTCACCCAAAGCTGACGAAGCCGACGATATTGGGTTAAATCAACTAAAGGATTCAGTGCAACAAACGGATGCAACCACTGAAGAGTTGGCGGCTCCACCAACAGCTGACGAAACAAAATCAGACCAATTGAACAATGCAGGGAATGAAATGCAGTCGACAACTTTAGAAGAGCCAGCTCAGCCAGCAACCGTAGACGAGCCAGCGCCAAGAGAGTTGGCGGCTCCACCAACAGCCGACGAAGCCGAATCAGACCAATTGAACAATGCAGGGAGTGAAATGCAGTCGACAACTGTACAGGTAGAAGAGCCAGTTCAGCCAGCAACTGTAGACGAGCCAGCGCCAAGAGCCGACGATTCAGAGGCAGCCGCAAGGTTGCAACACGAGCTGATGGCCATTGCCTCCGTCTCCAGTGCTGGTTCCCCTCTACACAACACACAAAGTGCTGTGGAAGAAATGGAACCATCTGCAAAATATCCTGAACCAGATACACATGATGTGAACAATAATGATGGCACGCCAAGTGCTGGGCAAACCGATAACGTCGAATGCATGGAGCAAGCGACGAACGACGAGGTGATCGAATCGGATGCAGAAGAGCTCGCGCCAAACAAAAACGCTGAACACGAAGCTTGCCCTGCAACGGAATGCATGGAAAGTGAAGGGAATGACGAGCTTGCTTTGCTTTCGGCAGAGATGCAAGCAGCGTCAGGATGTGAGTTCTCGTTCAAATCAGACGACGACGATGAGTGCAGCAGAGCCAGCCAGGAAACAGGGCCCTTTCCCCAAGCAAACACTTGTTGAAGCGCAAAACAACACACCACAATATAAAATGTACACACAGTGTACGGTAGTGGTCCATGTTAGAACAAACTAATTTTTAAAGCAAAAAGTTTATATTTATCGTTGAGAGAAGAGATCGTAGCATGATTCACTGCACAGGCGAATTTACTTCTTCGATTGAATCAAATCATTCGTTCTGATGCCCCACCGGTACACGTACCGTGGCCGAAATGCACTGGAGCAGTTTCGGTTGTTCTGGCTGATTACCAGGAATTGGCAAAGCCTAAAAACTCTAGCTCCCAATTGCGTCATGGAAAGCCCCGTGCTATTGAATCTGGTACGGTTGTAGCCGCATGATTGGCTGTGGCCTTTATCTTTGGATGATTGGGTCCGTCTGGTATTCGCTTGCTCTACGGAAGTTTCGAACTTCGTGACTTTACAATGACGACGAGAAGGAAGGCAGCGAATGTAACCACCCAACTCAACCACCAGTTGGAAGGAGTTCCCAACAGCACGGTAGTCAAGATCCACAGCCCAAGCTGTAGAGGTGTTCCTATCACGAGGAAATCTTTTGACTAGTTGCCAATAGTAAACAACATGTGAGATGAGGACAGAGTAGGCACCGTTACTGCACATGTGCATGCAGCACAGAACGCACCTTGTAACCACCAGGGCCATAGATCATAAGATTTGTCCTGTACGTCGCAGCGTGTAAGAAAATTGTCAGAACTCTGCCAACCGAATTTTGGGAATGAAACGCGCACGAAATGCTGCACCGCGAGGAACGACTCGACTCGTACTTACGTGTAGCCAAACGGAGTCATGAAGCTTGCTGAGGCTCCAAGCATCAAACAGTAACTCATTAGGACTACATTGGCTCCTGTGTCTTCTGCTGCTTTCATTGCAATCGGAAATACAAGCGTCGCAGCTGCGTTGTTGGTAACGATGTTGCTGATTACCATCGTGGCGAGGTACACAGCACCGTAGAGGCCAGCATCTGTAAAACAGAAGGATCCGATTAAGAGTCGTCAAGAAAGCATTATGAGGCAACCGCCGTTGGTCTTACCTCCCATTCCAAGCGCCTCTCCAACACTGACAAGACCGCTGGCACAGGCTTCTGCGACTCCGGAAGCCACCAGGGCTTCTCCGATTCCAAAAGCGCAGGCAATTGTACTATTGTAGCACGCATCATTTTGTTGTTAGCACGACGAACGTAGAAACATCGCCGCTTCCCAGACCCAGCAAAACGTACACGTATACCTCCCAGTTTACAGCATCTCTGGCCTCTTGTTGCGTCAGAATCCCTAAAGCAACCATCAAGATGGAAGCGACCAGGGCACACAATAGAAGTGAAGCAATGCCAAGTGTCGCAACAATCAGCATGATAAGTGTAATGATCAAGGCAGGCACAAGATACCTGAGCCTTGGCGGAGCCGAGTCCTTCACCTCAGAGAGAAGTGCAAAGGAACGCTCGTTTTCGGCACTCTTTCCGATGAATGCTGACCCAGCTTCCAATAGAAGCACATCACCAGCTTGCAGAACGATATTTCCAGGATGGTCGTGGATACGTTTACCTTGAGAGGATTCGAGTCGGTATCAGCTACAAATGATTGGAAGCGAACAACGAAGGCGCAACTCCACTTACCCTCACGATGAACCGCAATCACGGCCGCACCATATCGAGTGCGAAAACGTACTTCCTTCACAGTCTTTCCTGCAAGAGGACCTTGTCGTGCAATAACAGCCTGAACTAGTCGTCGATCGTAGACATTCTCGTTCATCTTCTTCACTTCGTCACTTTCAAACGAAACAAGCCCTGGAATTTTTCGCAGATCGCCAACGGCAGATGCGGAACCAGCAAACCAAAGCACGTCACCGTCCTTCAGAGGCTCTTCTAGCTCGATGGCACTGTACCGAGGTTCCGTAGTCCGCACCGAGAGTGTTCCATCAAAGTCACATCCTGGATCGCCTTTACTACCTCCGCCTGTTATGCTGCTGAGCACTACCGTTGACTTCCTGTTGTCTTCTTGCTGCGGTACGGGAGCTGGTCGTTCGATACTGATGAGAACGACACCAGGGAGTTTTTGAAGACCGGCCTGGGCCACGGTCTGGCCTGCAAGCTGTGAATTTGTTGCAACCTGCATAGCAGTAAGGAATTCTCGAGACTGCTGTTCGCCATTTCCCCGTGCAGTTGTTAACATGACTTCCATATCTCTCAATATCAACTCATCGTTCGCAGTTTCGGTGGGATTCTGCAGGAGAAGGGGAATGTTGAGGGTACGATTCGCGTGCGTAAAGCAGGAGATGTCAGGCACTTATGTTACCATTTGATTGGATTCTGATTCTTCAGGTTCTCCGTTTTGAATGCCAGTTTCGATGGCTTCAGCTGGGATATAGAAGCCCTCTCCTTCGACTACAACCTTGTCATCATTCGGCGAACTATCGCTGTGGGTTTCTTGCTTCTGCGTTGTTTTCGGCAAAGTTTGCAAGTCGTCCTGACTGGGCCTCCTTGACAAATTTGGAAGCGGAAGCTTGACTAGATTGACCAGAGACTTGTAAGAGCTTGGCCTGGGAATCTTGGGCCCCGATGCTGTTGACGTCGCCGCCGCTGCTTCCTCCGCCAGCTTTTGATAGAAATCATCAGCAGGTGGCTTGATCCTCAGCAGCGGCGAGTCGTCACTAGCTTGCAAGATTAAAATATCTTGTGCCTGAAACACCACTGTCGACAGTGCCTGGTTGATGTTCTTGCCCCCACGCTGCATTGCCACGATTGCGCATTTGTAAGTTTCACGAAAGTCTACTGCGGCTGCTGTCTTACCCACCAAACGAGACACAGCCGTAACGCGTGCCCGAACGACCTGCAGCCCTCGTTTCTTTACTGCCAGAACACCAGTGTCACGCTCCAGCAGTGCCTTTTGGACAAGCCATTTCCATCAGAAAACATACTTGCAATTCCACTTGCTATGCTGCATCGAATTCGACACTTACCGTCATTACGGTCCACACCTCTTCGACATCGACGAGTTCTGTTCCAATCGGCTCGCAGCGCCAAATGGAGAGCGATCTGCCATCAACGACTGCTGCTTCTGTGTGATGCAGCTGCAGATTGAAGGAGAGTAATCCTTTGGAAATATCGAGTAGTAATCCTGGTCGATCCCTGGAATCGACTCCAATGACCACCAAGTTCTGTTCAATCGTCGCCACAATCTTGGGAGCTGCCGTGACGGTTCTCCGCGCGGACGGATGCCGCCGTTTCTTGGGAGTGCCTGCGGATCCTATATCTTCGGATTCATCTCGCTCTATCCCTCGAATCATATCGGTCAATCGATTGATACTTCGCAAACGTTCAAAATTGTCGGCTCGTACGAGCGAAGCTTTGGTGGCCCCGACTTCGACTGGAATATCCAATGTGAAGTCCTCGTCTTCTGGGAGAGTTGGCATCATGGGAGACCGGTTGCTGGAGGGTACGGTTGCCCTCAAGGCGTCTGCCTGTCTTTCGATATCGTCAGTGGCATCGTCAATGGCCTGGTCGGAATCGGCATCACCCACATCATCGCTGTCATTATTAGTAAGCTTTGGCATAATGTTGTCCTTTATTGGAGCAGCAGTATCATGCTTGTTTGGTTGTTCTGCAATGAAATGTGCACTTCGATCTCCATGAATGGTATCTTCAATTTCATTGGTAATCATTTCCAGGCCATGTTCTTCACAAAAGGCTCCAAATCCATCCAGCAATCCCGTAAAGTATAGAATATCTCCTACATTCAGGACAAACTCTTGTCCTACGGCTCGATGGACATTGCCGGTTTGAAACCGATGGACACTGACCAAGTAGATTCCACCGGTATCACGCAATCCCGATCGTTTGACCGATCGTCCCGCCGCGGGCGACCATTGTGTCAATCGTGCTCCCAAGAGTACATCTTCACTATCTTCCATGGGATTTTGTCCTCCTTGTCGATTGCCGCGTTCGCCTCCTGGCAGTACAAAGGGCGATGCCATGAGCAAATAGGTCATTCCAATGAGTGCAATGGGTATTCCATATTCTCCCAAATCAAACAATCCAATGGGTTGATAATCGGGCAGATGGCTGTATCGATCTTCGTATAACCCATTGACAATGAGATTGGTGGAGGTTCCAATCAATGTACAGGTTCCTCCAAAAATACTGGCAAACGAGAGGGGTATCAGCAATTGTTGTGGATTGACTCCAATATTTTTGCCCCATCGTTGTACGATGGGGATCATGACGGCAACGACGGGTGTATTGTTGAGAAACGCCGATACAATGGCAATGGGTACCATCAATCGGACTTGTGCCGTGCCCACCGATTTGGGTCGCCCCAATAGTTTTCCCATGTACCAATCGAGGGCTCCGGTTCGGGAAATTCCCTCGGCGACAATAAACAAAATGAGGACTGTCAATAGGGATTCATCGGCAAATCCCTTGAGTCCTTCATCAATGGAGACAATTTGGGTGCACATGAACACGGTCAATGCCATTAACATGACGGAATCGGCTCCAGCAAAATCGGAAATGAGCATGACAAACATGCCAAAGATAGTAATGAGGGTAATCACCACTTTCCAAGTTTCCACATCTGAAGTGCCTTCTCCTTCAGTAGTAGTGGTAGTGTTATCGCCTTGCAGCCATCGGTGGGGACAAGGGCAGTAGCCGTGAGATCGCATCAGTAGCAAGTCGTCTTCATGGTGATAATCCTCCCAAAAGAAGGGATCGTAGGGATCCAGGTCAGTCGTCATCATCATATTGGATTATCTTGTCTCTCTTCTCTCTCTCTCTCTTATAAATGTGGATTTAATGCGAAAGAACAAATGCACCAGTTTGGGAAAATCAAGCTACCCTTTCGAGTAAAGCAGTTTGCTTGGATGGATGTGAATCAGTCCTATCTTCATTCACTCTTTGGTACAAGGATCAACCTGTCAAAGTCCTGGTTGTGTACTTGCAAGTCAACTTGTGTTGGCTGGTTTGTTGTTTGATTGATGTTGATGTCCACACGATGGATGCAAGAGTGACAGTCAATTGAATTGCAGTTGTCATTGGACCTCGCTCGAGCTGTTTTCTCGCAAGTGCGCTCCCACCACTTCAAACAGCCGTTGCCCTTTGATAGTTTGTGGTTTGTGGTGACCGTAACGTGACAACTCGGGACGAGTTCAGTCACTCCTGACGTTGCAGTCATTGCAAATGTCTTTTGCGAAAGATCATAATGACTGGACATGCTCCTCTCAAAACCACAACAACTCGCTCGACCAATAACTCAACACACTCTCCTTCACGCCTTGCTGTACGGTAGCCAAGCAAGTAGCCATACTGCACAACCAAAAAAAGGGCACCATGAAGATAGCATCTCGCAACAACAACCGAAGAAAACCCCAAGTCAGGACGTCTCAACTAGTATTGGGAATTTTGGTATGTGTCCTGGCGGGTGCTGTCGTTTTGTTTGGTACTTCCATGGCCTTTTTGACGCAACACGAGAAACAAACTTCAGGCAACAACAACAACAATATCAAGGAGGATGTCATTTCCAAGCCACTGGCTACAAATACTAATACTGGCAAGAAAGAAAAGTCCGCTTCCACACTATTACGACACCAACTTCCAGCACCACCTGCCATTTCGTCGCAAACAGTCAAGACCGCCCTAGACAAAGTCAAACAAGAATTCTATGACCGCTATGGGGGCGAACAAGCTGCCAATGCTCTCTACCAAAAGACCATTACCTTTTTTGGTGCCATGGACAAGACTGCCGACCGCATTCTCCGTGCCGTCGCACAACAAGAAGCCTTTGTCATGGGATTTGCGGGATATTCCATTACCGTTGGCAGAGGCAACTTCTTTTCCCAATCCTTTCCCTTTGTCGTCGAACGCACACTCCAAGACATTCTACAAAAGGTGGGAGTCCCCAACTTTATCGTGCGCAATTCTGCCATTGGAGGGATTCCCTCCTTCCCTTATGCATACTGTCTGGATCATTTTGTCTCCAAGCAAACCGATGTACTCTCCTGGGATTTTAGCATGAACGAAATGTCTAAAGATCCCGCCGTCTTTGAAGCATATCTGCGACAGGCATTGCATCAATTGCCCAAACAACCCATGATTATCATGGTCGACAACAACAATTTGCGAGCACAAGTGCTGGAAAAATATGTCAATCTGGGACTCTTACAGGGTGCATTGACAGTTGCCAAGGCGGGCGCCGTCATTGATCCCGCGTTGCTCCAAAAACCAGACGATCAAAAACCACCGGGGCTGCAAAAATGGGACGAATTTGGAGCCCCCGATGGATGTCCTGGCAAAGGATCCTGGCATCCAAAGAAAGCGGAACACGAATTCATGGGATGGATGATTGCCATGCATTTCGTACAAGCTTTGGAAATTGTACACCAAACACAAGTCGACAATCCCAATCATTGGTACAAACCCTATCTGGAACAACAACCACAAGTGCGCGTCACCTTTCCCAAGCCACTTTCCAATCCACCCCCCAATGATGAATCTGTGACGGAAATTTTATTTGGACATGCCAACGATAATGACAATCAATATCAAATGAAGGAACTCTCCTGTCGCACCAACTTTTTGCCGGCGACCGACTACGAAAAGGTACTACCTTCCTTGGTGATTGCGGGGCTTTCCAATGAGGCCACGGCCGAGAATATCATGGAAACCCGGAACGATGATTTCTACCACAAAGGGTGGGTCCTGGATGTCAGTCCCGTTGAACGAGATACCAAACGCAAAGTTGAAACCTGTGGTGGATTGGGATACATCGACATGAAGATTGCACTCTATGGAATTCCCGAAAGTGGACCACTGGAACTCTTTTTGCCCTACGAGGGAGCACCGCACGATCACAATGACGCAACAGAGAGCGACGCACAACATTGGTTTGATGGTCTCATTGTCTGTGAAGCCAATGACAAGCGATCCAAAGAAGCCTGTCAATTGGATCGAGACATTGAGTACGTTGTGGGGGGTGTCAAGGTTCCTTCTGTTGTACGAGTCAATGGTGCCGGGGAGTATTTAAAGCGCAAGACCTGTGTCAGTGTCGGGGTACCTGCCGGAGCTAAGATTGGGCGACGACAAGAAGTGGCGGCCGATTCTTCTCAGACACAAGGCATTGGTTTGCCCGTCAGCATCACAGCCAAGGCACCTGTCACACGCAAAGTTGGGGCCTGCTGCCTGTCGCATATTGTGTGGGAGCAGCATTAGATGCTCATTGCAGTCCACGTGCCTAAATCGGCTTGGGAGATTGCTCGAGCCTGAGTCTTAGGTCAAGGTTTTGCCAAGTTCATGCTCAAGGAATTCGATGGACCAGTCCGATCCCTAGCTAGGCGACACAATCAACATACAAGTACCGTGCAGGTAGCTAGCTCTGCTGCCACGATCAGTCATTACTACGGTACTTGACGAGCCCCGAGCGCCTGGGACAAAATGTTCAGTCTCAAACAAAATGGCGCCAAACCTAGGCCACCGTAGTGAGCTGGAACGCGTGGTCGCAGCAAAAACAGACAATAAGCAACAGTCAATCGTCAGGTACCGTACGCTGTACTCCTTCCCGGGGCAGAGACCTTGCAGTTGGCTAATGATAAAAACGTTCCGACACCACACCGGCCTGTAACACTACCAGTAGCTAGCTAGCTAGAGCCACCATAGCTCACTTCATCCTTTCTCGTGCTCGGGCTGGGTGAGGTGCCAGTTCATAGTTTTGATTGCAGAACAGAAAGGAACTTGACAGCTAGCAATAACCAAGCACCTCCGTCTTCATCCCAACGCACTTTGAAAATTGGGATAGAACGAGCAGCGGAAGGAGCACCCTCGAAGGTTGATGGTCGGCCTAAGTAAAATTTAATTTTTTGCCCCTCTAATTCTTTGAGTTCAATCCGCTGGCTTGTGCGCAACGCCCATGTTTCGTTCCTGAAGGCGGCTTTGTTGACGGCGCTGGCAACACTTTTCGATACTTTGCTGCATTCCGGCACAATGTTGTGAATGTTCAGGTACCATTGGAAGGATCATCATTGGTACAAGAAGTTTTGGTTATTGTTGTTTATTGGGAGAAAGGAGTAATAAGGAAGGTAAGGAGAATTGACAGTTTTTTTGCTGGTTTAGTAGGTGCAATATCACCCTATAGAAGTGCCACCACTCACATCACGGCCGAATTCCGTCACCAAACTACCCCATTGCCACTGCACCTAATATACTCGACAACCCACGCTCTGCTGTTCTGTGGCATTAGATATTTGATAATCTGGAAAGCTAATATATTATAAAATATGGAAGGGTATCAAATGAATGGCGGCGGCAATCACAATTACAGCCAAGTGGGCAATGGCGGAAGCGGCATTCGATCTCGCCATGCTTCTGGAGACGGCGACGACGATGGCTACAACGGCACCAAGGGTGTAGGGTACACTACCCCCTTTTATCTCGCCAATCAGGCACCCACCAGTCTTCGTGGAGATGGCTACGGTGGAGGAGGTGTGTTGAAGTATTCTCCCTTGGCACCCAACAAGGATAATGGCATTCAATCGCACAACTACGAACCCGACGAAAGTGAAGTCTGGAGAGCCTACGTAGCACAGGTACACTTTAGCAACCGTGGCCATTGGTGGACTACAGGAAAGAAACGTGCTTTGAAGCGATGGGTATTGACCTTTGTGATTGGTGTCATTCAAGCCGTCGTGGCTACCCTTTGTAATCTCGCCTCCAAGAAACTCACCGAGCGAAAATTTGACCATGTCTACGACCTGCTCAGTGAGTCGGTTCATCACAGCAGTATCAGCAGTGAAGCCGGTGGTGTTTCTGGCGCTGCCGATGATCTATTCCAGACCGACGATGCTGCCAAGGGTGGCACCGACAGCGAGGCAGGGGGCTCGCATTCTTGGTTTGGAGGCAGTTCGGCCTTTGTCATGTTTGTATTCTACCAGACTATCTACGCTGCCATTGCCTCCCTCTTTGTCATGTGGGAACCAGTCAGTGCCGGATCAGGTATCCCCGAAATCAAGTGCTTCTTGAATGGAATTGATTTGCCACGCTTTGTCCGTGTCAAGACTCTGTTTTGCAAGGCGGTGGGTGTTGCCTTTAGTGTAGCGGCGGGTTTGCCCGTGGGAAAGGAAGGACCCATGGTGCACAGTGGTGCCGTCGTGGCCGCTGGAATCTCGCAGGGAAAGACCAAGTTCTGGGGAGTCGACACGAGCTTTTCCAAGTTTTCGGATTTCCGCAATGATCGAGAAAAGCGTGATTTTGTGGCATGTGGTGCTGCCGCGGGTGTAGCCTCGGCCTTTGGAGCTCCCATTGGAGGTGTGCTCTTCTCACTTGAAGAAGGAGCGTCGTATTGGAGTACCAAATTGACTTGGCGTGCCTTTTTCTGTGCTATGACGACCATTTCCACCCTGTTTGCCATTCGCAATGTGGACTCGTGGTGGGGACAAGCCAATGTCGAAAAACTCTTTTCGTTTGGAGAATTCAACAGTTTGAGGTACGTTTATGTTGGTGTACGGGTTAGGAAGTCATTATGGGATTCGGCTGCTAACACTGATTTCTGCCTGGATCAATCTTAGTGGTGATGCATCCAACTTTTCCATTTGGGAGCTCACTTTCTTCGTTATTATTGGATGCCTTGGAGGTTTAATTGGAGCTGTCTTCAACGCAGCCAATGAGCACTTGACCATTTGGCGCATGAAACGTATCAACTTTTCCCCAACAAGACGATTCCTCGAGGTTATTGTGATCAGTGTCATCGTCTCCACGGTGTCCTTTGTCATGCCCCTGCTCTGGAATCGATGCACACAATTGCCTACCGATATTCAAGACTGGAGTAATCAGGAGAAGAATCTCGTTGAAGCGCTTGTCCCCTTCCGCTGCCAACCTGGCAAGGAGTACAACGAAGTCGCCAGTTTGATTTTCACCGAGGCGGATGTGGCCATCAAGCAGCTGTTCCACTTTCGCGAAGTCGGCGTGGACGATACCAGTACATTCTCTTCTGGTGCGCTGTTCTTCTTCTTCATTCCCTACATCACCTTGGCTACTCTTGTGTATGGAATTGCCGTGCCCAGTGGTTTGTTTGTCCCGTCATTGCTTTCCGGTGCCGCCTTTGGACGTCTCTGTGGCCACCTTTTGCACAAGCTGGACCATACCAATGGAACCTTTGCGGACTCTGGTACGTATGCTTTGATGGGGGCTGCCGCTGTCCTCGGAGGAATGGCGAGAATGACCATTTCCTTGACGGTTATCCTGCTCGAGGCTACTGGCGACATGCAGTATGTCTTGCCATTGATGTTGACCCTCATGTCAGCGCGATTCACGGGCAATGTCTTCAACGAGGGTCTGTATGATATCCACATTCACTTGAAGAACATTCCGTTTTTGGAACCGGAAGTTCCACCCATTGCCGAACGAAATGAGATTGTGGCTGGACAAGTCATGTCCACTGAGGTCAAGTGCTTGCGCCCCGTGGAACGCGCAGGAGTCGTTTATGATCTTCTCAGGAGCTGCTCTCACGGAACCTTCCCGATTGTGGACACGGAGAGTGGTGGCACTTTGTATGGAACGGCCAGCCGATCGATGCTGTGTACACTTTTGCAGAGGAGGGCCTTTGGATCACCTGATGTGCTCAACGACGAAGTTGCGTCTCATGAAGGTGTTTGTGAAAGCTTGGGACCCAGACGACTGAGTCCTCTTGTACAGTGGGATACAATCGAGAGAGCTTATCCTCGCTACCCCACCATTGGAGATGTCGAGATGAGAGATGGTGATCGCAATTGCTGGTTGGACTTGCGTCCTTACGCGAACACCGCACCCTACACGGTGAACGAAACTGCGTCGATTCAGAGGACCTACCGTCTCTTCCGTACTTTGGGATTACGATTTCTCTGCGTTGTCAACCACAACAACCAAGTTGTGGGTATCATCACCAGGAAGGACTTGCTTCCAGAGAGCTTGACCCACTCTTTGCTTCGGGGAAGGAACGCCCATGCCAACGACGAAGTCACCAATTTTCTCTAGCTAGATGTCTTAGGATCAGTGTTTATACTTTATAAGAAAAGATACTTAGTGTAATGCAACGTGGTTGCTTCGCGAGCTTGCAATATGGAGAGAAACTGGTTCCCGACAAACCAAGCAGCTGTAGGCTGCCCTCTCCTCCCTTTAGTTGCCACTTCGATCGAATCGAATCATTCCACTAACTACAAAGCTTGCCCCTGCTGGCTTTTCCACAGGTGAATTTCGCGCTTCTATCGGTACAGTCGTAGCATCCCTGTTGGAAGAGAATTGAGAGCTGTTGACTCGACTCAACTCATACCTCCAGCCACTATAAGTACGGTATTCATGAGCTATGGTGTCCATCCCCTGCTGATTTCTAGATTCGATTCATCGTTCTATCAATTGCATGTACACTCTTGTTGTGTACTCAACTGCGTAGCATTCTATTCATCTTCCCACTCTATGGTTTTCTTGTGCAGCAGGTACTCTCGCACATCGCCATCATCGTACTGGACACTGTGCTTTCCCGTTGTTGCATTGTACGATGTCACTTTGCCAGCATAGAACTTCCCTTTGGCCCAACGAATTCGTAGTCTCTTTCCCACCATATTGTATGCTAATTGTTGTTCTTTGGGCACGGTTGGTAGGATGGTTTTGCCTTCCTCCGCCAACCGTGACAAGGATTCGTTTACTATGGACAGTTTGCATTTTTGTTCATCCCAACACGAGTACACCAACATGACACCCCTCATAATAGTTCCCGCATTGTCAGTCAAATTTGCAGCAATGTTGCTGCTGTGGGCCTTGCCAGCGAGCAGATCAAGTACCACTGTCTCTTTTAGCGGAATGACCTTTTCGTCATTGATGAGAAACCAGTTGTTATCGTCATCTTGACATACAGCTACATAGTGGCCTCCTTCATAGTCTTCGGACTGTGTGTCAGCATCCTCATCCTCAACATGCAAAATGCCTCCCACAAGGGAATAGTAGGTACTGTTGATGTCATCCTTGTTGTCGCCATCATGGCATGGCACCTCCAGCTGCAAGGGAATCTCCATAATGCCTTGCGTGGCTTGGATTTGTCCATGACGTTGATGGTATTCAAAACGTTGTAGATGCAGTAGTAGAAAGGCAGGAAGAGGGTGACAAAAAGTTGTTTGCTTGGATGTGGTCCAATCACTAGTTGATGATGATGATTCTTCCTCATCACTGCCTCTGGCTTGATGAGAGGATTCATCAGGCTGGATGGATTGTTCATAGTCCATGCTGTTACCAGGATCTCGATCCCAGTTGTATCCTTTGACAGGTTTGGGTGCCAGAGCTTCTTGGAAAGCCTCCTGGAGTGATGTGGAGTCGGCAGTAGAACAGTCCACAGGAAAGGGACAGGGCATGGGCACTCTTTTCTGTTTGTGTCGGATGATTGTGACTGTTTCTGTTTCAATTTCAATTTGTTTCAGTGCTGTAGCTTCTTGCTCGGCTGTTGTTAGAGATGATCTGGGTACCATTCGCTTTGTGCCCACCAGTGATTGTTGCATGGCAGTTGGACCACCCAACAGACCTTCATAGAATGATTTGAATTCCTCCTTTGCTTTGCCAATGCTTGGATTATTGGTTTCTTCTTCCTGTGTATTGTCATTCTTCTTATTATTATTATAGATGGATCGTATTCTCTTCAATAAGGCGGCCATGGCTCTCGTGGCATCCCCCAACTCGTACGGATTGCATTGGCTGGAAAATGCTGCAAACACACGTGACGGATCTACACTACTGCTTGTCGTCGTCGTCGTTACCATTTCGTGCAACAGCCGTGCGAGTTCCAGCAGAGCTTGGCTTTCGGGGGTGCATATGGCTGGTTGACTGTTATTGTGGTTATTGTTGTCATGACATTCCAGAAGATGAATGAGAGCTTGTCGCAATGGAACCAGTGCATAGCAAAGCACAACAATGGCACTTGACAAGTGGCATCCTACACCAGAGACATTGCGAATGCCACAGACTGAAGATGATGTGTTGGTAGTTATTGGATTATTAGTGGACATCATCTCTTCATCTTCTTCCTCATCATCATGGGAGGCTATAGTTTCATTATTTGGAGTGGAGTGCTTTGATTTTGTTGTTATCATTGACAGGTGGCACATACTAGCTAGCTAGTACCTGGTACCGCTAGTAGACTAGCAGGATGGCTGATGGCATGCCCAGTCCCGATGGGCTATGAGCTGTCAGAGCTGTCCTTGGCATTGAAAGCCTCGTTTGGATCATCCTCGTGACGGAAGCAAGACCGGCGTAGCCAAACCCTCATCTTTTCGCATTTCGCAGCCACCCAATCTGCACTCGTCGCCTCCAGTGAAGGACAAAGATTCTCACCTTTTTCCTTGACAAAGATCGAGTTGGTCAGATTTCTTTTCTAGTACGGCTAACGACGATGGTGATGAGTTCCAACCAACGCGGATCCGTATGGCTGGCCACTGCTGCCATGGCCACGATGGCTGCCGTTGCAATAAGCTTTGTCTGGCAGAAAAACAACAAACAGATCGAAAGCAAGACCACTAATAAAGGCAACAACAATGAGAAAGACCCGAAAATCCAAGCCAGGGCATCACTGCCAGACGAAGAAAAGAAGGACGACGAAGTATTAGTGCGCCCTCCTGTCTCGGAAATTGCACTGACTGGAGAAACCAACGATAAGCTTGTTCGCGTACTGACCAAGGGCGCCATTACCATTGCACATGGGTCTGTGACGGGTAGTTGTGCCAAGTACGCAGCTCAGCTACAAGAAGCACTCCAGATTGCGCTTGTGGTCAACAACAAGAATTCCAACTACCAGATACAAGTGGTCAAAATGGACGAACTGGATTGGTGGGATGAGCTACTCAACGATGAAGATGAGGAACCACCAAAATCAGGCAACACGAACAAGAACAACAACCAGCCACTCCCCAAATTAATCTTGCTGCTTCCCACCTACACATCCGGGACTTGGCCTCCCACTGCCACCACACTGGCATCCACACTGCAAGAACTCGAGACGGATTGGAGAATTGAAAAATTTCCATTGAAAAAGAAACTTCATGTGGGTATTTTTGGAATGGGATCTTCCGCCTATGGAGATGATTCCATGGGAAAACCGGCACGAGAAGCACAAGCGTCATTGCATCAATTGGGAGTCAAGACGATTGTACGGTTGGCCGTGGGTGATGACGCGGTGGGAAATCATGCGCAGACCACATTTTCGCGGTGGGTCAATGATTTGATTGCCCGCATTCCAAAATTTGATAATAATAATGGCGCGAAAAATCAAAAGAACAACAACAAAACCACTTCTTCTTGTAACAGCAAAAACAAAAACAATGAGAGTGGCGACTGCTGCGGGAAGCAATCCAATAATTCATCCAACAAAGATCAACAGCAGCAACAGCAAGACGAAGAGTACGAGTCAGATGACGAGCAACAACCGGGAGAACCTGCCGTGGCGGATTTAGAAGACATGGGAGATGTCATGGCCGCGGATGAAAATAACAACAACAAGGAGAATGGTGGTGCTCCACCAGAAATGGTCACACCATCACAGGCGGAGGCTCTCAAAAAGGAAGGATACAAATTGATCGGGACTCATTCGGCCGTCAAACTGTGTCGATGGACCAAGCATCAGCTGCGAGGACGTGGTGGTTGCTACAAGCATACTTTCTATGGGATTACCAGTTATCAGTGCATGGAAGCAACACCGTCACTGGCATGTGCCAACAAGTGTGTCTTTTGCTGGCGTCATCACAAGAACCCCGTTGGTAAGGAGTGGAAGTGGAAGACGGATGATCCACATTTTATCGTGGAGCAGGCCGTCAACACACATGTCCAAATGATCAAAGAAGCCAAGGGAATTCCAGGAGTACGGATGGATCGCTGGAACGAAGCATTGACGGTGCGCCACTGTGCATTGAGTCTGGTGGGAGAACCCATCATGTATCCTCGCGTGGGTGAGCTCTTGGGCGATTTGCATTCTCGCAAAATATCCACGTTTCTCGTGACGAATGGACAGCATCCTCAGGCAATTGAGAGTCTACGACCCATTACGCAGCTCTATGTCAGTGTCGATGCACCAACGCAAGAGAGTTTGATTGCCATTGACCGGCCATTGTTCAACGATGCATGGGATCGATTGAAGCAATCGTTGGTTTCGTTGAAAGACAAGGGGCAACGCACCGTGGCTCGTCTGACGGTCGTCAAGGGATGGAACTTTGACGAGGTGGAGGGATACGCACAGTTAGTTGCTCTGGGCCAGGTCTCCTTGGTCGAAGTCAAGGGTGTCACGTTTTGTGGCAAGTCGGATGCCTCCAACTTGAATATGACCAATACACCTTGGCACCACGAAGTTGTTGCACTGACGACACGGCTAAAGGAAGAACTCGACAAGCTACGAGAGGCAGACAACAGCTTGCCCGAATATGGTTTGGCGTGTGAACACAAACATTCTTGCAGCGTCTTGTTGGCTCGAGTTGATCAATTTGCATACGATGATCCAGTGACTGGACTCCGGAAATGGCGTACGTGGATTGACTATGACAAGTTTCATGAGCTGGCAATGCAATATGCACGAGATTCCTCGTTCACCTTTTCGGTCAAAGACTATGTTGCCGATACACCTGCTTGGGCGCTCATTGGAGCAGAAGAGGAAGGCTTCGATCCCACAGACACAAGACATCGCAAGAAGACAAAGTATCCCAAGTACACCCGGTTCGATGAGGAAGGGGTGCCAACTCATGACCACGACAACAAGGAATTGAGCCACGAAGAACGCCAACAACTCACTAAGTTGATGGACGAGCGAAAGAATGAGATTGGTTGTGGTACCACCGTGACAGAGCTTAAGGACGGTGCCAAGGAGATCCAGGATGCTAGCCTGATGTTCCGAGGGCTGGTGGTAACTAAATAAATGTAACTATTTGCTAGATAACACTACAATCCAGTGCAAATGGGAGCGGAAAGGCTCGGATGATACCATACAACATGTATCTTGAAGAACTTGGTAGCGTTCAGCTCGAACGTTATTACTAGATAGATTTACGTAACCCACAAACTCGAGCAGTCTGTTCCTTCGGACAAAGCAAAACCCAATCATCGCGCATGGGACGGAATCGAATCGCCCGAGGATCGGATCGGTTGTGTTTCAATGCCACGCGCATACGAGTGATGCTGTAGTGGGAGGCTTCGTGGAGATCATGAGCTCTTTATTTACCGCTAACTCGGAGTCTCGGAGTTATGACATACGACAGAGCGGATCAAATCCTGTGCTGGGATGTGCTGGCTTCGGTCAACGAACAACAACCAATCTCGTCTTGCATGTACCATTTCCCATCAATGAAAGTTTGGTCCAAACAATCTGGATATTTTTGCGACAACTTGTAGCCTTCCCTAAAGTGATCCCAGCCCTCTCGTGCCAAATCAAGGTACTGTACTTCTGGTTCTCCTCAGGATCCGAGTCAGGAAAGGAATCACTCTTATGGTGCTTGGCAACAATGCCAATACACATACTAACTTGCCTGTCGGAGAGGCCGTTGACCTCTTTTAGATCCTGCTCCCACTTTCTTTCCGCATCTGCTGCGGCCCTAAGCCTTAAGTGGATCTCAGTTGGAACACTTTTCTGCTTGCCGCAACGTTTTTCTTCGTTTTCTTCTTCTTGGGTGGCACTCTCTGTGCTTCCAAATATCCCTCAAGCTCATGCTTGCGTTGGACAACTTCTTTGTATTCTTCATCCTCGCACGGCAAAAAAATGGGTTCTTTCTTCGTCGTGGAGGTGGATGAAGATTCCGAGGGCAGGGCCGAACCGGGCTTCCATTTGATTGGCAAGACAGGCTGCGTCGTATTGTGCTGCGAGGGCTCTTTTGCCTTCGACTCTCCAACATGAGTATTGGTGCCTTGTCCACCCACGGCTTTGGAGGATTCGTCCGATGTTGGCGTAGACTGTACTGGAGGCATAGCCGTTGTGGTCAACGTGATTGGTGCTGAGGTCGTACCGGTACTGCAGTGTTTGAGAGAAGTGAAACAAAATTTCAGAGGAATGCGATTCTCGGTTCTCAGTGGCCTCATAGCCACGCCTGCCGGTTTCCCCAAACTTCGCTTTGGCCCCCAATTCCGTTCCCTCTTAAAAAAAAACGCTCGTCGGCGCTCTCAGTTCGTTGCCGAAACACACGAGCTCCACAAATCCAACGAAGGAACAATCTTGTCTTCATTCAGTGCTGAACCACTTGATCATGCCAACCGTAGAAGCACCCACCGGTAGTCCCCGAGTTGGTGCTCTGACAAAACTTCCAGAAGATGTCCTTGCAGTGGGCCTCCGCAACGACAAGAAGCGCTTCTTTGTTCCCAGCGGAGACAACTCTTTTGCTGGCATTGCTTACCAGAACGTGATGATTGACAGCGGATGTAACTCGCTCCTCCTCCCCTTCCCTCAAGACGGCATTTCTGCCTTGACTGCCTTTCAGACAAACGAATTCTTTTGGGAAATTTCTTGGTCGGCTGGTGTTGGCGTCATCAACCCTCCCTCATTGCTGATTTATTGCCAAGAAACGAACGAAGATGTTGGAAATTTGGTTCTTGCCGACCGTCAGGTTGTCCCTCTCAAGATGCTACGATTCCACCTGGGTAGTGCTTCGGCTCGAACGCTCCTTGACTCTGGCATTTTGGTAGCAGCAGAAGCAACCAAGCTTGAACAGTTCTTGGCAGATTTGGATCCACGAGTCTCCGACGAGCGCAATTGCGTTCTCTTGGGCCAAGCCGTCTTCTCCCAAGTGTTCTCGCTGCAAGCCGGAAAACTGCTCCTTATCGCAAAGAGGGGGTACTTTCCAGTGAAAGAAGACTTTCGAGCTGCTTGGAGCGTGATCCGAAGCTTTGAAGGCCAGGGCTTGATGCCCAACAACTTCCACGACCTTGACGATGAGGATCATAACGGTGACATTATCTCCGCTTGGTCAGACGAGTTCGAAGGCGAAAATTGGGAGCAAGGATACTACAAGGACTAGGAGATCCAACGTCGAAGGTTGCTATCAAAGCAAGTGTGCGCTACCCCTTGCTACCGCCCCATCCATTCGCAACTTTCATTTTCGCATCCTGTTTCAACCTGAAAGATCATGTCTTCTTCTGTGTAGAAAGAACCGTCACAATCTCTATCCATGGTCATCTCCTACCTCTCCATTTCCCAGTCCCTGTGCTACTAGCTGCTGTCTAGGCAGATTGTACCTAAATAAGATTGAGGTCGTTTCCTATTTGTCACGCAACTTCTTCTTTATAGATTCTTTCTCAACCGAAATACCGGTGCTCATCATGAGTCTTATAGAACGCCTTGGTGTGCAACCCTTCAATCAAGAGCAGTGGAAGCAAGAAGATGATCAACAGCAAGTCCTGCTTCTCTTCCTGTTGCTTGCCACCATTGATGCAAGGTTCTTGAATTCTTTCCTCTATCTGACCGTGATGGGATCTAAAATCGTATGGGATCTAAATGTGCCAAGCTGGTCCAATGGCAACAGGTGACATGGTCCAATGGCAACAGGTGACATCCTCCACCTGTTTAGACCTACTGGTGTGATCCTTTATCTGCCAGTCTCTTTTGAGATCCCAACTGACGAGTCGGGTGAATTTGGTGCCATTTCCCTGGTGCAGTGCTCCTAAAGGAGAATGGCACCTTCCACATCAGTTGAAGTTGTTAAGTCCTTAGAAGAACCTAGTGTTCTTAAGTATTTAACAAGTAGCCAAAATTTAACCAGTGAGAGACTCAAAGACTTAATGCAAATGTACCAAGTGTGTCTTTTGTGGGAGGACGCAGAGAAACCAGCCTGTACAAAAATGAAATTTTACTTTTAGGTAAAAATATTAAAAGTAAAAATTTAAAAGCCTTGTTATTAAGAATCTCCATGGCATGTTGACTGAGGACTCATGGACTCATGTACCAATACTACATGCTGGTGCTGCTGCTGGTGCTGCTGGTGCTGCTGATCTAAGCTACTAGCTAGCTAGCTAGCTATCAATGACTGAGTTACAAGTAGGTTTTATCTACTATAGAGTAATCATTAAAATTCTACGAACACCAAATTAATTGTATTGCTCTAGAGCTTGATTCAAAGAAGCAATGCCATCTTGTTTGACTGACTTGGATCATCATCTTGTTTGACTGACTTGGACGAATCTCACAGAGCTCAGCTGTTGGAAAAGAGGTGGGGGGAGGCAGGTGCCGCTGCAGTGATTCAAGTGCCTCAAAAGCTTGAAAACTAAGTGTAACTCATTGTAAACAGTGTTGCCGTTGCTCTGTTGTCTCTGTAGAGTTGTTTACAATACAAAGCTAGTTGAAATGACGACCACGTTAGTCGTCCTCCAATGTTCTACGCCAGTTACATCAGTTGCACGCTAGTTACGTCAGTTACCCTACGCTAGTTACGCTAGTTACGTCAGTTACTCTAGTTACACTAGTTGAAGTGCCCATAATTTTGGTGCAGTGCGGTGCGAGGACGGTGCAGGAGAACTGCACCGGCACCAAATTATGGCACCAAATTCAACTGACCCCAACTGACAAAATGAAGCGACCGGAAGCTGGGAGAGACTTGCCTCCGAGGAGTGGTATACCTGGTACCGGTTACAGATACTGTGTGCGTCGTACCGGAGTTGCGGGAATACCTGTTTTACATCTTCATCAGGCAGTTCACTGTTTTCTTTTGGAAGAATGACTGAAAATAGAAGAATGACACAATCTGGAAGAATGACACAATCTGGAAGAATGACGCAATCTGGAAGGATCTACGTAAAAACGCGTAGAAATCAGTACCAGGTGATGTAATTTGGAAGAATGACACAATATGGAAGATTGCTGCAATTCGGAAGCATGACTCAAAGTGGAAGATTTACTCCACTTGCTGGTAACTAACCAAAGGAACCCCTTCAAGAGCCCATTCCCCGCAACTCCACCGTACCCTACCAGTAGTCTTTGTAATCCGCTCAAGCTTCACTGGCGTGATAAAGATTTAAGACTTTTCAAGGAAGATCAAAGGGCAGAAAACCAACCAAACAGGCAGCGACGATCTGGTCGACACCACGAATGCAACAGAAAAAACTTCGGCACCTTTACGTTGCACATGCAATAGAGACAAGACGACGCTACCAAAGCTCCCATTATCTTCAAAAGTAGGAATTTTCTGTAGGACTCCCAAGTTGTTTAGATAAGGATTCGACCAAAGCGAGCTTCACAGCATTATACCCTCGAAAGGAAATTGAAACGAACTCACTGTGTTACAGAGTGTTTCTTTCCGACAGTGACCCTGGTTGTAGTGCAAGCTGCCAAGGAACAACGTGACAGAAACACGCATTATCTATCTAGCACAACAAAGAGCAAAAGTACAAGATGTCATCGGGTGGTCAGCGCTCGTCGAGCAGTGGTGGATCTGCCGAGTCGGTAGCAGCGGGATGTAGCTTGCGAGAGCTACGCCCCAAGTCACGACAGCGCAATTCGCAAGGAGGAGAAATGGAAGGACTGGCCGTCTTTACATTTGGACGTGGCGAAGATGGTCAGCTTGGTTTGGGTGATACGTGTGATTCGGACGAACCCAAGTTCGTGGATGCCTTGCGGGGAGTGGGTGTGAGGCAAATTGCCTGCGGGTCAGGACATACCGTCGTCCTTACCACAGATGGAGAAGTATACACTTGGGGTGAGTCTTTAGTGTTGGGAAGATGGATAGTCCAGGATGGGGTACCTTGTTCCCTTAACTACCGGATTTGTTTTTGTCCTAACGAAATTCCCTTGTTTTCTGCAATAAAGGTCGCGGAGACGATGGCCGTTTGGGTATGTTGCCTTATGCGGAAGAATGTGCTGTTTTCGCTGTTGTATTGGTTTGTTTCTCATTTCTATTGCAACGTTCTTTTGGCGTTTAGGCCATGGAGATAATGGGTGGAAATATGTCCCTAGGATCATTCAAAGTCTGGCAGGACAAATTGTTGTCCAAGTTACCTGCGGGTCCTATCACACCGCTGCTGTGACAGGCAACGGCGATTTGTACACTTGGGTGAGTGATTATATTTATTCCATAGAGAATCTTTATGTTGATAGATCGTCCTGAGTTTTCACTCAATGCACATTTGATTCGTTGCTCATTTTTCCTTCAGGGAGGTGGCATGTACGGTAAGGAGAACCAACATGCGACGCAACAGCCTTTTATCCTAGATGATGCTGACTGACGTGACCTTGTGCTCGTCGTAGGCAAACTTGGACATGGCAATGAAAATGGACATTCAACCCCCAAACGCGTGGAAGCCCTTGTTGGTTTGGTTGTTTCCATGATTGCTTGTGGTAGTCGCCACACCGCCGTTGTCACTAGTCCCGAAGGAAACCTGTACACCTGGGGTGACAATGAAGCTGGCACCACTGGTATTGGATCGAGGGAAGGACATCAATACTCACCAAAGTTATTGGAGAGACTTGCTGGGAAAAGAGTTGTCCAACTGAGTGCCTGCGGATTCCACACTGGGTGTTTGACCGATTCCGGTAATGGGGGAGAACTCGAACTCTACACATTCGGCGAAGGCAAATTTGGTCGATTGGGGACGGGCAATGAAAGGAATTGTCATACTCCACATCTAGTCGAGGCTATGGTCGGCAAGAAGCCGAGGCAAGTGAGTTGTGGAGGATTTCACACTGCCGTCGTTACGGAGGATGGAAAATTGTACACTACTGGAGGTGGAGAACACGGACAGGTGGGTTTCTTTGATCTCGAGCTGTGTTACAGCTAGATTTGGATCTTACACATCGCGTTTTTTTCCTTGGCACAGCTGGGCCACAACGATCGAGTCAACAGGTTAAAACCAACGTTTGTGCAGGCTCTCGACGGAGAGTTCGTCTCCGAAATTACATGTGGCTGGTCTCATTCGGTTGCCCTGACGGCCAAAGGTGAGTAGAGAAGTAGAGCGTTGCTTGAGATCTGACGCCATGTCCTCATTGCTTGCGTTTTTTCGTTTCGTCATTACCATCATTAGGTTTGGTGTACACTTGGGGCAATTCCGACCACGGTGAGTGCCTGCTCTCTCACGCAGGCTTGATGTTTTCGACGGTAACTAACTCAGTCGATTCGTTTTGCAGGAAAACTTGGTGTTGGTTCGTCTCGTCGTGTGAGTGTACCTCAGCTGGTAGAAAAGTTAAAGAAATATCGCGTGGTCAAGGTTGCATCATACAACGAACACACTGCTGTACTGGTGGAACCTTTTGATCACGTCGGCGCTGGTCTGGCGGGCGGTGTCAATGCTGTCCCCGTAACGACGGCCTACAACTCGTCCATGAGAGCCCTGGTGAATGACGAGGAGTTTTCGGACGTCACCTTCACTGTGGAAGATCAACCTGTGTATGCGCACAGGGCACTATTGGCTTCTCGGTGCGAACATTTTGCTGCCATGTTTCGATCAGGAATGAGAGAAAGTGCAGAGAAGGCGATAATCCCCATCCCGGACATGTCTCGTCCAGTTTTCTTGTTGCTATTGGAGTACATTTACACTGATTCTGTCAAAATCGAATTGGAGCACGCTATCGAACTGTACATTGCGGCTGATCTTTACCAACTGGAACGACTGCGAGATATGTGCTGTACAGTTGTACGGCGTAACTTGAATGCCGAAAACAGCGGCCCCTTGCTACAAAATGCCACCGAAGCGCACTGCCATATCTTGAAGGAAGTTTGCATGGCTTACGTTGTCGAGAACTTCGACGTCGTTTCCAAGACGGAAGGCATCAAACAAGTGAGCCACTCCTTGTTACTGGAGATTTTGGCTCAAAGATAACCAGGCTATTGTACTAGTATCTTGATCGGTTGCGTGTTTTAAAAACTATATTCCACCTTGGAGGTTGCATTGTCAAGCCATACCTTAGACTTGCCCTGAGCCAATCTGCAACATCACTACAACAATGCCAACAAATATAGACATTATGCTGGGTGGATCTATTTTAACTATAGCTTCCTTTTCTAACCTGCCCGATTGGGGCAGCAACCGCACCAATGGAACTCCCTATTTGTGTAGATTGATTGGTGATCGTCAAAAGGGATGAATGGCTTCAACAAGCTATCAGAGTTCGTGCACCCTCACTCCTCATCTATTGCTCATCATAGAATCTTTCTTTGAGCTCAACATACTCACCACCCATCAGTTCCATTATTTCTGTCCACAACGGTTTGGCTCTTCTGGTGCCCATTCTATCTCGGCTTTTGAAAAGCACTTCCTTGGACACTTGCGCCTTGATCCAAGTCCCAGACTTGATTTCTTTTTCGATGTCGTTGGTAGTCCAGGTTGTGCTTTGCACAAAGAACTTAAAGTCAAAGCCAGTCATGACACGATCCAGGCTGGGATCCGACATGGCATCTTGAGCTTGTGCAGGGTCGCCACCCCAGAACAAGCCATCCTCCGTGATTTTTTTGGCTCCCTGTACCATTGGGCATTGATGCAGCATATCCAAACCAGATGACACATTGTCGACGCCACCAAACCACAGTGGTTGAATACAAAACTTTTCTAGTATGGGTGCCGGACCCAAAGCCGAATCATTGTCATCGGTTGGAGGCTGCTCAAGATCTCCCAACAAATACCCCGTTCTTCGATTCAACAGCACGGCCCTGACACCACGTTTCTCGTGACAATCCACCAAGATGAGTACGGGCAAAAGATCAGACCTACGGTCAGGTCCCAAATCGACGGGAGGAGGCAATGTCAATCCGAATTTGGACAACAGAGTCGGTTTGGGGGAAAACTTTTTGCCTCCAAAGTCGGTACAGAACGAGGCTGGATTGGCCACCAAGACTACACCTCTTTTCAGCGTATCGACCTCTTTGGCCCAATCCGGTGATTCTTCTTCCTTGTTGCTGCTGCTGCTTTGGCTTCGCGCATAACTGATCAAATCATCAATGCTGGAGGACACGGATGGCGAGGCCGGATCTGGTGGTGCCTCTTCACCTGCATCGGCCATGAGACGACTTCGAAAATTGGCGACATCTAGATCATCCAAATCGCGTATCATCATCGTCGTCATCATCATCATCGTCATCATCATCGTCATCCTCATCTTCCTCATCATCCTCATCTTCGTCAAATTTCCCATAAAAGGAAGAAGCAAGCGGGGGTATTCTTTGGCCGTGCTGGATTGACTTGACCGTTGCTTTGTGGAAGGTATTGACACCATGGCAGACTGTGGGGAGAAAGCCAAACGATGGCTGTGTCTGGCTCAGAAGAGCTAAGACTATGCAGAAAAAACTATTAGATAACAAAGGTGTCATTGTGCTGGAGCCTTCTTCTTGGTGGGTCTTCAGTTTCTATGGGGCTATTGCTATGTTTCGGTTGTGGGGTTGTAAGTATGCATAATGGCAACGTCGACCGATCGGATGTTACAGTTTTCAGGAATGACGAAGAAAGATCCTTTGGCTTGAAACGATTTTATAAAAGATCAGGCCTTGGCTGTGTTTTTCACCTTACTGGCTTATGCTTTCGCGCAACGGTGCGCGAGCACACTGACTTTGGCCCGTTTGCTTTGGATTTGGAACAGGACCCCGCCACAATGGCATAAAGACCAACAGACGACGTAGTATACGGCAGTCAACCTTTGTTTCTTCCTTGCTTCTTTATTAGCATCTTTCCTCGTGCGGATCCACTATCTACCTTGACAATCCTGAAGAATCATGGTGGATTTTAATTGTCTCTTGGCAGCTCTCTTCATCTTTTTGGGTAACACCCTGTTGGTGATCTACTATGCCATTGAAAAGAACCGAGAGCACTGGGACCAATACGCCTATTCACAGTTGAATGCTGATTTCCTCTTGACAGATTGGGAATGGCGTCGCCAGAATCGACAACTCGAAGTGGCTGGAAAAATGATTACCGCCGCATCCTGGGTGATTCTGACGGCGCCTGTCATGCATCTTTGCGTCGTTCAATCCATGGGTGGTGACCGCAAGCTAGGGTTGCATGTGGCCTGTGTCTGCTTTGCCTTGGGTGGTGCCATTATCGAAGTCACTGCGCAATTGATGCACATGGGAGCCTTTAATGCTGCCGATTGGGTCTCGGTCGAATTTACCCTGGAAAACTGGCACACTCAAGGTGACAAGGTTGGATGGCAAGCCTTGGAAGTCTCCTGGCGAAATGCGGCTTCAATGACTCTGTGGGTCGATAGTGTCGAGTATCTGGCACTTTCGTTCATGTTCCTCTGTATCTTTTGGTCCGTCAATACCATGGGCAATTTGCCAAACAGCATTGGAATGGCCATGGGAGGATTTGCCTTCTTTATTGGAGTTCTGTCCATGGCCGATTTTGTGGCCTATGTGGTTCGCTTCAAGTTCTGGGAAACGGCGTCTTTGATTGGACGCATCATTTCGGTGATGAATCGAGTCATTTTTGTGCCCTTATTCTTTGTCTGTCTGTCTTGCACATTGCCTGCTGCCACACGGGCTCACCTGCAGGATGAACAAAGCAAGAGAAGTGGTGTGTCCATGCCCGCAACTGGAGATGAGAGGCATATTGATTAGACGATGGATGGATTAGAGGAGGACAATATCATGCTTTATCTAGCTACTTGATTGGTGGATTCCGACTGAGAGATGCATTGGGTTTGTCAGACAAGGAAGCTCAGCCTAATACAAAAGAACAATCTACATTCCGCCAGTGGCTTGCTTCCGAGAATAGTGTTGTTAAAATTTAGAGACAAGATTATCGAGTAATGAACGCAGGGACAATCATTGTCAAGGACAAAGACACTAGCTAGTGAACTAACTACATTGAAAAAGTGGGATGGTTTCGACACTGATCCAAATGCCTTGGTGCCTTCATCTTTTTGCTTCAGAGACAGAGAAAATATTCCTCGTGTCTATGCTCCGATGGGCATCATTCTCGCAAGTCATACTCCCCTGAAAGCCATGGCAAGATGGACGGCACGACCTGTTGTAGGTTGCAGGTTGCAGGTTGCAGAGGATCCAATGCGATGCATGACAAGCACGCGCCTGCGCCCTTTAGCCTTCGTAGGATTAAAAACCCACGACTGCGTATCCGCCGCGCAACCAATGCGCGCACCGTTGCTGGAGGCAGATCAGGGAGACAATGGCAGCTTGAGCACAACGGTGACCAAAGACGGCCAGTAACAAAGGACCAGCATAGCCAAGGATCCCTCTTCCGTCTACATAGTCCTTTATCATCTCCTGTTATCCACTGGGATAGTGCTAGCACATCACATAGCAAGCTGAAACTTTGACAGCGGCGCTCTCCAAAAAGGGTAGCATCTTGACTTTTATTCTTTTATTCGAGAAGAGACGCAACAAAGACGATGGATTGGACTTGTTTCTTTGCAAGTCTCTTTGTGTTCACGGGGAACTTGTTGTTGGCAATCTGGGCTGGCATTGAGAGATCACGACCAACCTTTCAGTGGGATCAGTACCGAAAATTGGACCCTGACTTTTTGGAATCGCATTGGAATGACCGTCGCGATTTGGCCGGGCTGCATCTGTCTGGATCCTTTATCATTGCCATTTCTTGGGTCTTATTGACCATCCCTCTCCTTCAGGCTGCCTTTATTCTGTCACATGGTGGAAGGCGTATGATCTGGCTGCACACCATGATTGCCGTTCTGGCAGTTGCCGCTGCTACCACCGAGTTTGTTTCCCGCCTTATGCATATCGGATCCTGGAACACCGGAAACTGGATCTCCAGGGACTTTTACCTCGATGACTGGGGTGGTGATCCACAAAAGCCCAATGGAATTGGATGGAAATCCTTGGAAATTACCTACCAGTTGACGCAAGGCATGATCTTGTGGGTCGACTCCTTTGAATACTTTGCGCTCTTTGGGATCTGCTTTTGTCTCTTTTTGAGTATCCGGACTTCGCCCAGTGGATTGTTGGGCGGTGAGATGTGCTGGGGAGGAATGGGATTCTTTATTGGAATGCTTTCATTGGCGGATTTTGTCTTTTTGATAGTACGATTCGTGGACTGGGATACCTACAATTTGGTTTCCATGACCTTTACCATTCTGATTCGTCTCATCCTTCTGCCATCCTGGCTGCTCCTGTTGGCATTCAAGTTGCCCCCGGCTGTGCATGAATTTAACGAAAGAAGAGCTGCCAACCCCATTACATCACCCTTGAGTCCCAGTTCATCCGTCACAGGAAATGGATCTCCACGATCTCCCCAACCCAGCGACTTTACAATTGAAGATTAGAGGAGAAATCTGATCCTTCTGGCTAGGTGCATGCATGAGTGAGTATCACAACAATCGTCTCAACCAGGTGCTTCGCAATGGCTTTCCGTGCGGAATAAAGTCAGGAGTGCATGATGGACTTGCATCCGCCGAGTTAGTATTTAAGAAGTAAGATTAGCGAGGCTACAAGGTTCGTCTTTTCTAAATTCTAGCCTATCCGTGTCGTTGGGCGTTCGGTCCGCTCCACTTCCCCATCGGCCGGAATGTGAGTTGCGATGCTGAAGCATATGCATGATCTTTACTGAAAAACGTGTTGTCTCTACTTGTTTAACTAATTTGTATACTACAGTTGCTGCAACAACACCAAAGTCATGCGGGCTGTCCGTGTTTCTTCTTTCCCCCGAACAACGAATTCATTGAAGTTGTCAAGGAGCATTCCTTTTTCTTCATTTTCATGGCAGCAGACTCGGGCCCACACTCTTTACATTGGCACCAGTGCTTGTCATGTATGCACATTCCACAAAGTCCACCAGCCATGGTGCATCCTGGGCAAAACGATGGATAGGCTGACGAATAAACCGCTTTGGCAGACTTGATACAGGCGCTGTTCATCCAACACGTCTTGAATTCGGACATGCCAGGACACTGCTTTTCGCACCACTTGGGCATGAATCGGCACACTTTCTTTTCGTTTCCATTCAATGTCGTCCACCACGTTTGTCGAAAGTCTTTCCAGGAAGTACTCGTGTCGGTTTTGGGAGCGCAGAGGCTCCCCAAAATCTTGCACTCTTTCTTTTCCGTCTTCTTTGCAGCAGTTTCTTCTCGACTCAAAAGCTTCAAAGGTTGATCTTCTTCATTGGAAATGGTAAAAACCACATCGACATGAGGTGACAATGCTTCCACCGACGCGGGTACCTGTTCAATGCTGGCCGTGAGTAATGCTTCGGGAACGGCTCGTCCTGTTTTTTCCGCTCGGGATTGTGCCCTGGCTCGAATAATGTCGGGTGCCGCCGTGACGTGCAAAATGGCCAATTGATACTCTGGAAATTCTCGTCGGACGCGTTCCATGAAAGATCGATAGTATTCGACATCCCGCAGAGATCCATCCACCAGCGTGGGGATGCGTTTTTGGAGGGCATGTTCCAAGAGCACATCGGCCATTTGGGTGGATTCTCGATGAACTTTGGTGGCCGCCGATGCTGGATCTTGTCGCAAGTATCCCGGCATTTCGGGCAGTTCCGTTTTCAAGAGATCAGGGTCAATCTTGAGGAATCTAACGAGGAGAGGAACCAAAATATAATATGCAACCAGACAATGAGAATCTCGCAGAACAAATAACAAATATTGATGCACCAATCGCTTACCGATCCAGTGGAAACAATCCTCGTTCATTCAAAGTAGCCATTACATAACCTTTTCCCACTCCCATGGGTCCAGCGGAAAAGACAATCCAAGGTCGGCGACCGGGTTCTTCCGGGAGCACCTCCTTGACTTCTTCCTTGGATTCTTCTTGTGGATGCTGTTGATTGGCTTGCAGTGCAGCTTGTACCACACGGGCCAAAATGACATCTTGCAATTCCTGTCGAGATTTGGCCGGATTTCGATGATAACTATAATCCAACTTTTCTCGGGCCGCCTTGAATTCGGGCGAAAAGTCCTTGAAGAGTGGATCATGGTACACTTCGTTGGTTGGCTTTTCCCAATCAATGTCATGGGCTCGTGGTGGCCACTGTTCCCGGATCGCTCCATTTTGCAGCGATCGGACCCACTCTGGCAGGTCCTCTTTACTTTCCTCCATTGTCTTGGTTTCTTCGTTCATTCGCATCGTCGTTGTTGTTGCCATCTTGTTATGATTCTGGGTTGCTCATCCTGACTAAAAAACATGTTTCGATGGAAGCGATTGTTGTCGTTGTTCTCAGAAGATCCGGTCGTTGATTACTTTTAAGGATCGCGTGTAAGTTATGGGATTAACGAATGGAAAAGACGCACAAAAGCCTCTCGAACCAATGACACAAGACTAACTCGTATCCAATCGTCGCTGGTATCTTCGCTGGCTTAGTTTAAAGCACTGAATGGCTAGAAAATGCGGCGGACCGTGTCTGCCTCCAAGAAGCACGGGCATTGCTGGATCCAACCAAAGACTCGACATCGTTGCTTGTCCTTGTTGGTCTCGTGTTATTACAGTCGTACCGCACAGTCAAGCTACCCATCTATCAGGTTGTGTGTCTATCCGCTCCTGATTATCTCTCGTATCTTATCTTATCTACTGCTGGGTCAAGATTGTAATCTACAACAGCCATGATTGATATTGCCTGTCTCTTTGCCGCTTGCCTCTTTGTGGTGGGCCAATCCCTCAGTGTCACTTACATGGTCAAGCTGCAACAAAAGCAATTCTTTGACTATGCCGAGTTTACCGTCCTGGATCCGGACTACATTCAACAGGACTGGCAGTTTCGTCGAGAGAATCAAGCCCTCGAAATTGCGGGTGGATTCATCAATGCATTTTCCTGGCTCTTCTTTTCCATCCCCATGATCCAACTGGCCATTGTCCTCAGCCGCGGTGGAACCCGTCTCTTGTCCACCCACATGTTCATTGGGGTATTGGTCATTTCCGGGTGTGCCATGGAATTCTTTGCCCGATTCATGCATCTGGGAATTATTCAATGGGGAAACTGGCTCTCGCTAGAGTACAATTTGCAACATTGGGTATCACCCACCAGCAACGACAATATCGGATGGAGGACGCTCGAAGTCAGCCATTTGATCAGTTTTGGAACTGTCATTTGGATTGACTCGTTCGAATTCTTGTGTCTCGGATTTGCCCTCGTCTTGGTATACGCATCCGTCAACAGCTTGCCCGCCGATGGTCCTCGGATCAGTCGATCTTTGGCCGGATTTGCTCTCTTTATTGGACTCTTTAGTTTGGCCGACTTTGTCTCGGGTGTGCTTCGTCTACGCGATTGGAGTACCTTCCGAGTCTTGACCATGCTCATTTCCATCATTAATCGATTGGTCCTACTCCCAATCTTCTTGCTCTGTTTGGGATGTCAATTGCCGTATGCCGTCCATCAGCACAAGGAAGCGGTCGAAGCCGGTGCCAACACCCAGAGGTCGCGTCATTGGGTCGATTCCCAGAGTACTCCTTCGAATGATACCGGAGTGGAATTGGTTTCGCAGCCGGGTGAAGATTAAGTGTGCCTGCTGAAACGAACGAAATTGGAAATCGAAATACTTTGGATGCTAAATAAAGGATCTTTTATCGTGTTAACAAAAAAGACTGGAGATCTTGGAGAGATGAGAGGTAATAACCATATCAGAAAATACAGGAACCTAAATTAGGCGACACTGATGCTGAGTTTGATTGATCCAATACAGTACAATATCCCCGAGCGAGTTCAGAAAGAAAAAGGGCGAAGTTATCAAATAGGGAACCAGTTAGTCATCCTGGTCAACCTCGTTCCAAAGGACGTGTGCAATCGAACAAGGCTCTCGAAAGGTGCCCCGAATACTCCTGACGGAAATTTCAATAGATAGACCAATTTCTGGTTTCTCGGAAACAGAATCCTCTTGCGGAGATGCCTTCCCGGTTTTCTTCTTTTGCTTGGTAGTCTTTTGGACGACGTCGTGTTTAAAGGCCAAATTGGAATGGTCTGGAACATGGATCGTCGCACAATACAAGGAAACGTCGGCAGGGAGTGGTTCCGGAGAGGCTACTTCATCTCCCAACACGATATTGGCGTCTCTGGACAATCGACATGTGTCTTCGGTGTCCTTGTATTCGGGCTGATCTGCCTCACAAAGGGTCACCGTTTCAATGTACCCACGAGCCGACACAAAGCCTTTCGACAACAATTCCGCTTCGGCTCGTTCCTGTCCTTTGGAAAGGGGAATGAAGAACGTTAAACTCCCCGACCGGGGCATACCAAAGTAAGCCTTTTTGATGGCATGTGAGCTACTCGTGGGCGCCTCGTCCTTTCGTTGCTGGGAAAGGTGTACTTTTCGTTTGGTACCCTTGTCGAGATCTTGAACCCATCCCTTGGAAAACAAGGATCCTTTGGGTAGCAACAGTTCTTCTACTAAATGATGCCTGTCTTTGTTCAGTTCTTCTAGATCGAGAATACTCTTGGACACACCCGACACAATCAACTTGTCCAATGTGTCCGGAGCTCGATCCGTAATGTACGAGGTCATGCATTGCATGCCTGGAGCCACAAATCTATAGGGTGATGTTCCGTCGTTTGCTTCGGAATCGGCACTGGCGGTTGCCTTTTCCTCCACTGGCTCTCCGACCAACAAGGAGAACCAGGCTGGATTGGACTGCAAGATCATTTCTTCCCCCCGTTCGTGATCATACGTCCAACTTTGTCGAGTGGTCTTTTGAATGACAAAGGGAGGTGGCAAGCTTACTACAGTGGCTGCTGTGCTTGGATGCCGGTAATATTCCAGTCTGTGGGCTGGCCACGACGAGTTCCAGGGCACTCAACAGATGCATGGATAACAGCCATCCAATCATGCCGTGATGGGGAACTGTCAATCGAGCATCTCCTGGTAAAGTGGCATGGGACCTCCAGCCCTGGAACGCCACTGGAAGATGTTCTCGATTCATTCGAAAGTAGGGTGCTGCCGCCCGATCGGCATGCACCAATACAGGCTCCATCAAGACATTGTGATCGACATATGTCTGCAGCAGGCTGTCTCGTTGATCATTGTACGTGGGGTGTTTGTTGTCTCGAAAGATCAAAAAGGGCAACGGCCGATTGTGCTGGGTGGCGGCAGCGACTACATTGCGTAGAAATGCCTCCAGACTATCCGCAGTGGATGTGTATCCATAATCCCAGATTATGACATCAGGAAATTGTATTGTAGAAATGAAATGATCGAGGCACCAAATGGTGGGAAACTCGGCCGTGTCTTCAATGGCCAAGTTGGTAACATTCCAGCGAATACCGACCGATTGAAAGATTGGTTCCATGTTGTTTTGCAGGACAGAGGCATAGGATTGATTGTGGAGCACTCCTGACCCTGCGGCTGCTGTGCTACCAAGAATGACAACCTGGAATGCACCATCCTTTTGGTGGAGAATGTGTTGCAAGCGGGTGGCGAGATTGCGAGGAGCCCCCTCTTTGTTTTGGGAGGAGGAAGGAGCTTGACTGAGTAGACTGCGCTGCAAGATGGCTCTTGCCTCCTCTTCTCCTCCCACTAGTGTTGTGAATTGTTGGAGCAGCAATGCCGATTCTTTGGCAAACCCCGAGAGTTTCTTGTTTGCCTTCTTTTGGGAAGCAGTTTCAATACTGTAATTTTGGGGTAATAGATACTGGTAGGCAATTCCAAAGGTGTCTTGCCGCGCCAATTCTTGTTCATAGACTCCAATGCTGGGCACTAGAAGCGGTGGAGGATTCGATTTGGGACGGTGTGGCAGTCCGCCTTGATTGTTGTTGTGGTTGTTGTTGCCTTGTAACGTTTCGTGTCGAAGAAAAGATTCCTCCTGGGCTGCCGACGAGGACAAGCGTCGTTGGAGTAGTAAAATGTAACACGTGGCACAGAAAATGAGGAGATACCCTCCCACCTTGGCAAATGTCCACCAAAAGGGTTCTTCATGATCATTATTATTGTGGCGTCTCCCGTTGGTGGATCGCCTCTTGCGCCGCGACCTGCCTCTGCTTGGTGACTGGCCAGGATCTGGTAGACTGGACATGCTGCTACTAGCGCTGCTGCTGCCGCTTCGAGAGGAAGCGTCGGTGATGGGGTCTCTTCTTCTTTGCGTCATTGCTTTTTGCCTTCTTTGAAAAAGTAAAGAAAAATGAAGGAGGCGAAGGATTCAAACATTGAGCACTAAGGCTAGGGCTAATGAGAGGACCCTCCGATCTTTGGGAGCAATCGTCACAATGGGAATCAGCCGGCCGTCGGTTGTCCCTCTCTTCGATCGTCCTATTCATTTTGTCCACTTGTCGCCATCATTAGAAACAAGTACTGTAACAACCAAGTAGCCATGTTTCTCTCCAAGCTTGCTCTTCAGAATACTACCAAGTCGGTGGTACGGACCCAAGTCCGTCGTGCTGGCGACAAGGCCTTTGTAAGTTTTGATTGTTCTCTTGTGGCAAATGGATCAGCGATCGGCTTTTTCATCTTACACTTTCTATCTCTTTCTGATGGTCGTATTCATTCACATCACAGCACATCAACACATCCTACAACAACCAGACGACACATTTCGATTTCACACCCGAAAACTACAAGCGTGTTAAGGCTCTGTTGCAAAAGTATCCCGACAATTACAAACAGGCCGCCATGATCCCCTTGTTGGATTTGGCCCAGCGACAATACGGAGGATGGCTCCCACTGGCCGCCATGAACAAGGTCGCTCAAGTCTGCGAAGTGGCACCCGTCCGTGTCTACGAAGTCGCCAGTTTCTACACCATGTTTCATCGAACACCCGTCGGAACCTACTTTTTGCAAGTCTGCGGTACCACTCCCTGCATGATTTGCGGATCGGAAGAAATCATGGCAACCATCCAAGACGAGTTGGGAATCAAAAATGGAGAAACCACTGCGGATGGCATGTTCTCTCTCCTCGAAGTAGAGTGCTTGGGCGCTTGTGCCAATGCACCCATGTTGCAAATGAATGATGATTACTACGAATGTTTGACACCCCAATCGGTACGGGATCTATTGCAGGCATGTCGCGACAATAAGGATATCTCCCAACAAGCCATCCCCATGGGAAAATGGGGCAGTCTCCCCATGAATGGACAAGTTAGTTGCGAAGGGCCCCTTGGAAAGACTAGTTTGGATACCATTGAGCCACCCAAGTTTGATCGATCAAAGTTTGACGCCGGTGATGTGGACCCTGCCAGTGTCAAAAAGCACATGTCATATTAGATCATCATTTGATGGATGATACCGTATGGTAGGATTGGATGATGATGATGATGATGGTTCCAGCATCCCAAGCAGTTCTAGGTTGACGTCGGTTTTGGTGGTTTAAAAGTTGAATAACCCCTCGAATTCAAATTGTAAACAATTGTTGCTGTTTCGTTGGCACATTGGGCTACAATTACAACTAGTTAGAACTGTTGCTACTGTATTTGCTAGCTAGGACTACAGAAGAGCATTCGAGACACTTCCACTCGTTTATAAAGCGTCTTCTTCTTCGTCCCCCGGATCAAGATACTCGGCAAGCGGCTTCCGTTCTGGTTGCGCCGCTGCGTTGGCCACTTCGTCCTCGTCAAGTTCTTCCGTTTTGGTGTTGCTGGACTTGTCCGTGTTTGCTTCTGCTCGATTCTTGGTTGGCAGGGGTAACCTAGGACCGTCAGGGGTGCGTTGTTCCCAGACTACCTGGGAAATCGAGCACGCCGTTTCCCGGGCCACGAGAAAGTGATTGTGGACATGCAGCTCCAAGGAGAGACCCACTTCGACCAGACCAGATTTGACTGCCTCTGTCAACTCAAGCTTCCGGTCGTCCGGAAGAAGGGGGTCTTCCAACAACATTGCTTCGCGTGACGAGATCTTGGCATCCTCTGGGACGTCAATGTATGTGCAGATTTTCTTCCCTAAATACAGTGTCCCCGGAGTATTCAGTTTGGCGACCTTGGTTGCATTGATACCTCCCGTTTTGAACGTAATATCCTTGGCAACGTCACAAGCACCCGAACCTCTCTTCTCATTCACTTCGCACAGCACAATTGTCTGATACCAATCTCGGGCCGAGTCACCAACGTTTGGACGTGGTTTGTCGTTGCCATGCGAGTTGTCGTCGTAGTAAAACGGTAGAAGCAACCGGAAAGTTCCAGATGTGAACAATCCTCGATACGCTTTTTTGGAGTCCAAGTAGCCGAGGCCTCCGAATCGATCTAGCTTTCGTTTGGCCTCCTTCTCCCCTTCGCTCAAATCCAAAACCCAGGCTTGATTGTAGAAAAAGTGACCTTTACGGCAGCGAAAAATGTTCATATTGTGTAAGTCATACACAAGCTGTGGCACAGTACTGTGTAAGCAAGTGATGGCAATTCTTCGGTCCTACCTTTTGGAAGCATAGGGTCCAAGTTTTCGCCTGCAGATCCGGACACCACAATGGAGGTCAGGCTTCCAGCCTTGTCCACGATGGGGTCATAGGAAGTTCGGCAATGTACTGGGTTCATTTTCCAAATTTGGTCCTTTGCCGACTCAGCATCGGCCACATCCGGGCTATTAGGTACCCCGTAGAAGAGAGAAGACCACGATTCCATGGTGGCGGCATTGACGGTGACGGGAGGAGGCAGCAGATTGGTTGTCAATCGGTTCTGGGTTTCCTCGTCGTCCGTCGGGCATGTGAATTGTAGAGTTTCTTCTGTACTTCCATCTTGAGCCGCAGCCACCAGCTCGAGAGCGCTAAGGAAATGCATTGCCAACATCCATCCTAGCATTTCATGCTCTTTGACAGCTGGATGATGCAGCGCTTGACCCGGGGCCCCAGGAGGCGATCCAAACTTTCTCCAGCTTTGAAATCCAATCGGACGCCAACTGTCCCTGCGATCCAAAAATGGTCGAACGGCAGGATCACTGTGCAACACCACTGGATCGTCAATGCTACCCATTTCCACATATGTTCCCAAGAGCTCACGTCTCTTGTCAGCCATTTGTGTATCCTTGACAATCAGCTTGGGACGGTGTGAGAGCGTCATGGTGTGTCGTAGGTATGCCTCTAGTCCCTCCGCCACGCCTCCAGCTTCGTTCATACTAAAATCCCAAGACACCACGTCACTGTCTTCTCCCCAGTGTTCATTTTTGCAAAACCCGTAAGGAAAACTTGGGCAGCTGTGAAGGAAACAGGTGAGCTTGGGTTAGTTATTGGGAAGAGTGGATTGTTCTTCTTGGGTACATTTATTGAATGCTTACCCTCCAATGGCAGCATTCATGACGGATAACTCCACACCCAGATCTTGGAACGGGTTTTTCAGAATTTTGCCCATGACAAATGGAAAGGACTGTCCAAAATAGTTGCCTCTTCCAACAGTTACCGAGTAGCCTCCAAATGTAAATTTGAAGGGTCTTTGTTCTTTCTTGGCACGACGAATTCGACATGCAGTGCTGACCAGATCACTGGGAGGCTTCCCATTCAGTGCTTCGCTTTTCCGAGGAAACATGGTCAGTCCTCGCTCCATCATGGCTCGCACCGCATTTTCTCCTCCATACAATTCGGCAAATTGATTTCGGAGGCTTTCGGCTGTGCTCCAAAATTCTCGGGTAGAGTCCGATGCGGGTGTAGAGTATCCGTGCATTTCGGCAATACGAAAGGCATCGTACTTGGATGCATCTCCTAGATCCCAAACAGGAAGTGGTGGTGCTGTGGGGATTGTCGGTGCGGCTGTGGGTGACACATTATTTGTTGCCTCCATGGCTTCTTCGTTCAATTGTGCATTAACCGTCACATCGTCATCATAGACATCTTCTACTACTTCTTCATAGGTTTCTTCGAAAAACAAGCCACTGGGGAATAGGCTATGCCACAAGTAGTAAGTAGCCAGGCACAGGGTGCCCAGTGTCAACGCCACTTGGGCAAAAATCTGAATAAATGGAGGGTCCAAATCTTTGGGACGTCGCTTCTTTCTCCGTCGGGATCTTCTCTTTGGCACGTCACTGTCCGACGTAGGAACTGCATCGCCTTGAGCAATGGCTAGGCGTGGTCGCCGTCGTCTCGTTGGTGCATCGCTACTGGTGTCCTCCATGGTCGTTATTGGTGACTTGGTGCAAAAGCATTGAAAAACCCAAAGAGAAGCCAATGCCAACGCGGCAGAGCTGTTGAAGCGATATCCTTGCCGAAGACCACAACGACAGCAAGCCAGCACCAGCCGTGACATTTCAACAAGCGGCATTCGCCCTTGACCCCCTGCCCTCCTCTGCATGTGTCGTCTCTTACCTTCCCTGCTGCGACCTTACACGGCAACGAAACAAAGCTAACTCCGCACATCCCCCGATCTTACCTCTCTCTCTGACACCCAGTGCCTTTCCACTACAAGACACTCACCATGTTGCCTTCCCAGCATCAGCAAAGGGCCAAAACCAAGTCGATCTCCCATTCCACGCATCCTCCAGATCCCAAGAAGCACAAATGCTTGTCGGGTGCAAGCTTTTGTCTTGAAGATACCGGGCGAAGACGAATCTGCTTCTCTGTTCACGTCGTTTGACGCTGCACTTTCCTCTTGTGAAGACTCTTTACAAAAGATGGTCCAAAACCGAGACTATGAACAGCTCAAACAAAAGCTTCGGTTCATGGATTCTGTCAAGGAGCAAATCGAACAGCAACTAGCAGCCCAGCGTGCAGAGGCATTTTCCACACTTTTGGAGAATGAAGATATCTGGATCAATGATATCCTTCCCCTTGTGGGCATGGGACAGTATGCCTTTGTTGGAGGGGTCAACAAACAGATGAAGGAGCTCTATGAAAAATTCTGTTCTACTGTGAAGGATGCTCCCCTTGTCCGCCATCAGAACCATAAGAAAATTCCAGCAACCAGCACCGATACCGTTCATAGTGCTGCATTCTACAATGTTGACTGTGCCAAATACTGGTACAGTGACGACTCCAGCAACAAAACGCCCACCGATCACAACGTCTGCGCAGCAATTGCCAAATATGGGAGTATTCCAGTGATGCGGTGGGCCCACCAAAGAGGCTTTCGGTGGAATCATGATACATGCAGTGTAGCTGCTAGGCATGGCCATTTGGCGTTGCTGCAATGGGCCAGGGAAAATGGCGGTTGCCCTAGATAGGTAAAGTCGTCGAAAACCTTGCAAGAGGAGCTGCTCAGGGTGGTATGACCCGTCCTTTGATTGGAAATGCGCATACGTAGAAACTGCACTTCGCAATTCGGGAAAATGAGTGCAAATATCTGCTCAGGTGCAGCCTAGAAGGTGGACATCTGGAAACCTGAAATGGATGCACCCAGAATGGCGCCTGAAATGGCTATTCTATATCGACATGTGCCGCGCCTGCTGACTTAAAGATCTAACTGCTGCTGTGCCATCGAAAATACTCCCTGAGTCAATCAGGCTTTCGCGCTAAAACATTCAGTGACTTACCATGATGTGTCCATCACACACACAAATTGCCAGTATGCGCAGAAAGTGATACACGCGATGGAATATATGCTGGAACTGGCCCTGGACAGTCGCAGAACACATGCAGCTTACGCAGTGTCCTTGATACTTTGAAATGGGCCAGAGACAACGGGGTGTCATCAGGGATGCACGGACATGTTTAAGGGCAAGCTGAGGAGAGTTATGCGAGTGGTTGTTGAAATGGGCTAGGGAAAACGGATGCCCCTGGGATCGCGGACGTGTGCGTATGCTGCTGCTTAGGGTGGGCATCTGGAACTCCTGGCAATGGGCCAGAGAAAATGTTGTCCCTTGGGATAAAGAGGACACTTGAATAGGGCACGACAAAACAAACGTTGGCGGGTTGTCAATTGGGCTCAAGAGAATGGATGCCCTTCCGGTAGAATTGTTGACAACCTGTAGATTATAAGGACTGCATTTTGCGAATACTGACGAACTACCCACAAAAGTAGTTGGTTACTACATGTATCTAGCTAGGCTCTCGAGCTCGATTGAAGAGAGGAGGAGACATTTCGAATTCTGATGATTAAGGAGGCTACTGGTGTGGACTCAGTATTCAGGTGTGATTATGACAAGCAGTGTACATTTACCCAATTTGATGTGATCGGTGATTATTGAATTTCGTTAGTTGCTCCATGGCGGTGCTGTTCAATCGTATATTTTGCTTGCCTGCCTACCTATCTGGCTAGCTAGCTGTGGTTATGGGTGTCATAGGTTTCACATAGTTTTAAGTTTACAAGAATGAATCTAATCAATCTACCTACAGGATAGACTTCTAGAGGTGAGGCCACTACGACCTATCCGAAAGCAATCACAAGCTAAATGTGGCGAAGATTCCGGGAACTGCTTTGCCTTCCCATCTTCTTTTGTATTGACTCCAGCATTTCTTTGGTTTGGATAACAACTGGGCTATCCGGAGGAAGCATGGTCTTTTGCAAGAGAAGCGCCTCCTGGGTGGTCTCCATTGCACCATTCAGGTTCTTCAACTTCTCGTACATCAGGTTTTGCTTGCGAAGCGTCTCACAGCATGCCTCCGAGAAGATATTGTAGTGGGACACTTGTGCCGCCTGCATTTCCTTGTAGCACTGGAAAAGTGAATCAATGGGTGAGTTACATCGAGCCACACTACCAAGACGGTCAAAGCACATCACCGCCAGGCATTAGTACTTACACTGAGCGCTGCGGTGTAGTCCCTGTTTTTGGAATAGCTAAAGGCAAGGTTGTCGAGGGTGGCAATGACCCGAGGATGATCGCTTCCCATGACACCTCCGTTGGAGCTGTGGATGGTTGAGAGAAGAAAGCAAGGTTAGCTGGACTGTGATGTTCATGGAGCTCGACCAAACTCCACAGCCACGCATCAGAGCAACTCACGTCGAGGGCCTCATTGAAGGAAGAAATCGCTTGAGAATACCTTTTGCGCTTGTTCTCGATGCTTCCAATGTTGCAGAGGCAATCGGTCAATTGAGCCATGCAAGAGTCTGTAGCAACCAAAGGATTGAAGAAGGGACGTGTGAGACTTCACTTCAACTTCCTCGTGCAAGAACACGGTCGCTAAAGCTTACCTCTATCTGCGTCAGAGGACCAAACCGCACGGTAAATGTCTAAAGCATCGCGAAAGGTGGCCTCAGCAGCCAGCAGCTCTCCGGACTGAAAGTAAAGGTAGGCCATGTTGCAAAGAGTCTGAGCTCCGAGCTTGCTCTACAAACAAGAGAAAATGCGCATTG